ATAGTAGATTGAACGCAGACATCTACTGCCTAAACGAGTAAAGATTTGTTTTTTAAATGTGTAAACCCACGAGGAAAGGAAGAATGAGTGAAGAGATGAGCAAAAACATTTGAAAGCTGTAAAGCAGAAGGGGAAGTGGTATGTGGCTTAGCAAACATGATATACCAGGATGAGGGGCTCCAGTAGTAGTGTCAGTGTACTCCAGAATGAGCGAACACTGAAGAGTCACAGAAGTGAATTTATATATCTTGTATGCATACTGAAAACCCTCAGCCTTTTCCCCAGCTCAGTTCCCGGAATATGCCAGCTTGACCTCTACCCTTCAGGTAGGAGATTGGAAGGTTCTCCAGGCATCTGACTAGCCCCATGAGGAAAGATCTAAAGATAGTGACTGCCGTTGGAGGTTCCTCAGTGAAATGGCTAAGCCTGATCACCTTAAATGATGCCTTGTAGTTTGACAACCCTCTTAAATAACTTTGTGTGGGCTTTTGCACTTGACTATGAACATCTGAACTAGGCCACTTAACATGAAAGGTAAAGCTTAAAACTAGCAGGAAGAAAACCTACTGGAAAGAATCAAACTATGCAGGTAGAAGAAAACTTGAAAAAAACCTACATTTGTCTCCTTAGAGATTTTTAAAACCATGAAGTAACAGGATAATGTATAAAAGCCTAATTTAAACAATCAAAAAGCATTTGGAAATTAAAAATATGAGAAGATATGAGATGCAGGAACACAAACCTCAATAGATGGCTTTTGTAAGATAAGAGCATTTCTGAGAAAGTGGGGGTGAGGACAGGGACAGGGCCGATGAGTTGAAATCAGAGAAAAGTAAAGAATCACAAGAGGATCAGTCCATGAGGTCTTGTGGCACTGAAGGAGTGTCCAAATAGGTAAGGTCCCTTGAATGACTGGTGCAGTGGGTAAAAATAGATACTGAGAAATTTCAGAACACTTGGGACAGAGGAAGAACCTAGAGCTGTAGACTGCAGTGTCCAACCTTTTGACGTCTCTGGAGCACACATTAAATACACAAACAGTAACGAAAGCTGATGAGCCAAAAAAAGATCTGTGCATAATTTTCATGATAATCTGCCACCACAGATAAGCCAAAAAGTCCTCACATAATAACCCTAATTATGCAGCAGCCCTTTTGATAATCTTTTAAAATCCTTGAGCAGGTCCCAAGTTTGTGATCGCTAATATAGAAAATGTACATATCTAAGTAATAAAACTTAGTATAATACTTAGGAATAAAACTAATGTTTTAAGTAATTTACGATTTTGTTTTGGGTTGCGTTCATAGCCATCCTGGGCCTCATGCGGGTTGGACACCCCTGCTCTAGACTGAAAAATCAGGTCATACAAAGGATTAAGGATTGGAATGGCTTCAGTCTTTTTTAACATCAGAATTGGGGGCTGGGAGGAGAGAGTAATGCCTTCAGAATTCTAAAGGAAAGTGATTTTCAACCTAGTATTCTTTATCAAGCCAAATTATTAAGTGTAGGTATAAAGTAGAGATGTTTCCAAGTGTACAATATCTCAACAGGCTACAAAAAACATGAGATTTAATATAGGATAGAGGTGTAGGGAACCACAGGATGCTAATGAAAGGACAGCACAAGATAACAGATGTGTATCAAGTGTAAAAGACAACCAGTTGAGATTGGTACAGATCAGAAGGCACAAGGACAGTCTTCAAAATGATACTGATCCATCTGAATTTACATCCTGAGAGCAAAATTTAGGAAACTAGTGGAAGGTTGAATTAATGACAAATACAGAGAAAACAATGCAAAGGCAATCACAAGACCTTTATTAACTGTGGGGAGAACAAAGGATTGTGCAGGAAAGGAAAAATAGTCATAGCTTACCACGTAGCTTAGTTGTGAATTGCATTTACACTCATAGTAATGTGAAGACTTAATGCTAATCTAACCGTGGTTATCAACTTGGGAGTGATTTTGCTTTCCTTAATACCTGGAGATCTTTTTGGTTGTCACAACTTGGTGGAGAGTGCTCTTGATAGCTAATAGGTAGAGGCTAGGGATGCCACTGAACATCTTGTAGTACAGAGGACAGCTTCTTTGAACATAAAATTATCTGCTCCAAAATGTCAGTTGTGCTGAAGTTGACAAACTAACAAAACTATAATATAATTTTATTGGGAGGATGGAGAGATAAGAAGGGTGTGTAGGATGTGTGTGGGAATAGTTAATTCCTCATTTTCCATGATGGGAATAGAAAATGCATCGAACTGAAAAAATAAGAAATAGCACACAGGTTTTTGTTTTTGTTTGCTTTTTAATATGGAAATAAGTATTTTAAAGTAAAATCAGATAAAACAAGGCCAGTTTTTGCAGTGCTGTTTTTCCTGTACACGTATGGACCGCCTAGTGGCCTGTCTGCGAATTGGGCAGTGGTTTATCTTACGCAGTTTGGCGTTAAAGCTGAGTTCATAATTTCATGGGGCCATTTTCTTGAATTTTTTCTCCTCTGCTATCTCCCTGGTACTTATCAATTCCCTGGATCTGCCCTTTTCAGTCCTATGGCCAAAAAGACAGTGCTACACACTTGATGTGCCTCTTCCTCATGGCTGGGACCAAGTGACTGGAGGATGAAAGAAAAAAACCAGTAGAGGTCGGCTCTACTCTCTTGGAACTCTGCAGTCCTTGCCATCTGAGATGAAGGTTCCTGTCTCTCGGGTTTAGACTTTGTGGGTCCTTGTTACAGCTCCTGTTGCTGTCACCTTTGTAACCATGATTACATTGCTTTCGGGACTGGAGCATGAGAAAATGGGGGATATCAGGGACCTATTACTGTCGCCAAGCCTTAGGAGGCCCCTTTAGACTCCTTTCTTAATCCTTGAGGCAGAACTAGAGGGCTTCTGGAGTTCCCTGTCCCTGCTGGTGCCCTCCAACCCCCAGTCCAGCCAGGGGATACTGGGGGGTGGAAAATGGTAAATTCACTTTGAGTATTGGCATTTTTCTTTAATCTTCCTGTTAATATTTATTTTTCACAGTTCTCAAGTAGCTGTTCCATGCATTTTGTCCAGGTTTTTTTTAGCTACATTTTATGGGAAGGACAAAGTGGAGTGTGCTTGCTCCGTATTATCAAGAATAGGAACCTATGTAAACATTTAAAAAATAAATTATAACTATTGGTATGTCACTATCAATATATGTCAGACAATTTGCTAGATAATGGGAACAAAAATATGGAAGGATATCATACATTTTTCCAATGTACTAATTTGGAGGGGTTTGTGGACATCGGTAAAAATCAGGTAATTACTGTAATGGAGTGGGAGCCTGAGAGAGTGTATAGTCTTCAGAGTGCTACAAAAGGTTGTGCAGGAGAGCAGTGACCAGATCTCAACTGCCATATAGAAGAATTCAGATTTTATACCTTAGATAATGCTGTCAGGGTTACATATTATACATGCAACCCTGACATGTATAATATGCAACATGTTTTGATATGAACATGTTTTGTTCTTAGTGTGTGTGCAGTTTAAGAACTACTTCCACATAGTTTTTTCATACTGCAATGTAGATTATTGTACATACTTCTCCTACCATTTACTTACTACTTCCCCTATCAGAATGTTACATTATTTTTATAACTTAAACATATTTTTTTGAAATTTGATTTGAAACTTGGAAATAGCCAAGAACATTTAAGTGCCATGAGTAGTGAATAATGTAAGTGATCAAACTGAGCGATAATGTTTTTTTGGAGGGGGTGGTGCTACTGTTTTTAATTAAAAAAAAAAATGACTCTAAAAAGCCAACAAATTTCCTTTATGTAGTTCAATCTGTTTCCTAAGATCACCAGAAAAAAGGAATATCAAAAATACTGTGTACCGGTGGGCCTGGCTGGTGTGGCTCAATTGGTTGGACATTGTCCTGCAAACTGAAAGGTCACTGGTTTGATTCCTGGTCAGGGCACAATCCTTGGTTGTGGGTTTGGTCCCAAGGCAGGGTGCATATGGAAGGCAGCCAGTTGATGTTTCTCTCCCATGTCAACGTTTCTCCCTCACTCTCTTAAAAAAAAAAATACTGTGCAGTGCAAGAAGCAATTTGTGGTTGCTTAATGACTGCTATAAATCAAATTCACTTAGATTTATAGATTCAGACTTGTTTGGTGCATAAAAAGAGGGTTTTTTTTTTTTTTAAAGATTTTATTTATTTTTAGAGAGAGGGTTAGGGATGGAGAAAGAGAGGGAGACAAACATCAGTGTGTGAGAGAAACAGTGGTCAGTTGCCTTTTACATGCTTGGGACCAGCCTGTGGCCCAGGCATGTGCCCTGACTGGGAATTGAACCAGCAACCTTTTGCTTTGTAGGATGACTCTCAACTAACTGAGCCATGCAGGTCAGGGCCAAGGTTCATTATCTTAATCACATATATACATATAATATATTTTGTAAAATAAATGTGTCCCCTTCCCCAAATGTACTTGGAAAAAATAATTTAGGATTTTTGAAAGTATGTGCAAAAGTTAGTTTGAACTCAGATTCTTCAGTTAAGGCTCTTTGGGAAGTTTGTAGTCTATTAATGAGAAACAGTATTGGTTTCTTTAATTTAAAAAAATATTTTAAATGTGAAGATTAAGCAGCTGACATCTTTCCTGTTTCATTGCATGAATATATCTGCATATATTTTTAGAATATATTACCAGGTGTCAGAGGAAATCCTAGTGATTTTCTAGTTGTCTTGCTCACCTTTAGTTTATTGTGAGTGAGCTCTTAAGTTTATCTGTATTTGTGAACATAGGGTAAATAGCATCTTAAAAAAAAATTCTGAGATTTTGTTTGTTTTTTTCCAGACTCATCTTCCCTGTAGTAATTTCCCCAAATTTTAATTTTGCTTTGTTGATCAGCACTGTGCTCTTGGTCCCTTTTCTCTGGTGGTGGGTCAGGGATGAAGCAATTAAATAGGTAAAAATAAATTGTTATGGTTTGTAAATAATTTGTATTTGTTTTTGTTTTGGACAGCCGATTTATTTTGCATATTCCCAGCGAGGAAAGAGACAATGCTATCCGAGTGTGTTTTCAGATTGAACTTGCCCATTGGTTTTACTTGGATTTCTACCTGCAGAACACACCAGGATTACCTCAGTGTGGGATAAGAGACTTTGCAAAAGCTGATATCCTTTTTATTACTGTAATGATTGTCTTTCATTCTTGTTAGTAAAATATTTTAGCACAAATTTTCTTTTGCTTGTCCTTGAGATTTATTATCTATTTGATAAAACATACTTAATTTCTAAAAATTGTCAAATACAAATAGTAGACACAATTCTATAATATTCTTGTTTTTATGTAAAGGAGCCCTTGAAATGTACACTAATGATTAGGATTAAATTTGATTTTCTTCGCGCCCCCCCCCCCGAAATAGCCTATTTCTAGAACTAATTTTTTATTTTCTTCTTGCTGTTTGATTTACCCAGATCTTTATTTAATCAGATTACTATCTTTATGAGATAGAAATTCTTAAATAATTATTGAATACTTACTGTGGTCAAAGCAGTGTTTTTGGTTTTGTGGCAAATAACAAAGAAGTCCTTGCCTTCAAAGCAGCCCCCCCCCATTTACAGATAAGACAGAAGCTTATCATAATTTATTAGTTATAAAATATTCACATGAATTTTAAGATTTTAAAAGAAGCTATGTCAGAAGGCAAAAATTTGGTGAATTGATAATGATTCTGATATTAAATGTGTTTAGAATTTTGAAAAGAGATGGAAAGATTTTAGACTAATTTGTATTTCTAAGGGAATTTAGGATTTTTAAAATAGGAATGGGGAATGTGTTCCAGGTAATGAAAACAGATTGAGCAAAATTAGAGATTTGAGACTGAGGAGACATTTCAGTGGAAGAAATGGTTAAGCTATTTTACTAAGAATGGGGAAGTAAATGAGGAATCAAAGTGAAATAGAAGTACTATTGAGCACTGCCTTAGTTAAAGGCTTGGTGATAGGTTCTCTGGAGAAATTATAGAAAACTTTGCTTTGCAAAGAAGTTATAGAATCATCAAAAACAAGCAAATCACCTGTGGTTTTGGTCTACTTTTCATAGACTCAGGATTCTGCCAAGGTAGCTTCCTATACTTTGGGGTTCTGGATAAGACTTTGTGTGGGTATGCACATGAGTTTAGAACTTTCCTTGCTGTTTAAAAAATTAAAAACCTCTGTTCTAGTTATGTTTCTTTAAATTCAGTTATATGGAGGAAAAAACCCTTTACTGCTAACATGGTGGATTTTATTAAATAAAATAACGGTGCTTACCCTGTGCGAGGCATTATGCAGTGAACAAGGTAGGTTTAGTACTTTCTTCAAGAAGATGAGAGGTAGACGGGAAAGGAAATGATTACGGTGCAGTATGGTTAAGTTATAGCAGGGTAGTAAAGGACTCAGAAGGAACAGAGAGGAATACGTAACCCAGATTTGGAGCAAGCTAAAAGTTTTCTTCAGGGGAAGTGAGTGGCATTATGTGAGAAAGATCCATGTGAAAAGGTGAAAAAAGTTAATGTCATTGGGTTTTAGAGTAAATGGTGTGGAACAAGAGACGATGCTGGAGAGTTAAGTTAGGGCTAAAGCAAAGCATATAAGGGTTTTTATTCATAAGGGTAATGGACTATAGGAGATGTTTTTAAAGTTAAACTTTTTATTTTTGGAAAAAACTTCAACTTATATAGAAGTTAAAAGAACATTATAGTGCGTTCACTACTATCAACACTTTTTTTATAAAAAGATTTTGTTTATTTTTTAGAGAGAGGGGAAAGGAGGGAAAAAGAGAAATAGAGAAACATCAATGTGAGAAACACTGATCTGTTGCTTCTTGAACATGCCCTGGCCAGGGACCAAATGTGCAGCACAGGCATGTGCCCTGACTGGGAATGGAACCATTGACCTTCGCTTTGTGGGACCATGCCCAACCAACTGAGCCACACTGGTCAGGGCCATACTCTTCTTATATATTCACCCATTGTTAACATTTTGCCACATTTGCTTCCTCTGCCCCCACTATGGGTGTTTTGAAAGATAACTCTGGAATACTGAGAATGAATTGAAGGAAGGCAAGATGCTATTTCATTACTTTATAAAGTTAGAAGTGGAATCCTGTGATGAAAGCGAATAGAAGTCGTCAAATTTGAATGATATTTAGGAGGTAAAATTAGTGTTATCTTGGATATCTGAGAATAGATGGAAGAAAGAATCAAGGATGGTACTCAGGTTTCTGGTTTGAGCAGTTGAGTGGATGGGGTGTTCTGTTCCATTTTTAGAAAAATAAAGGAAGGGAAATTTTGTAGGGAGAATGATGGGCTCAGTTATGGACAAGTTGGATTGTGGTATCTGTGGGATACCGAAGTAGAGAAACTGCATAGGATAAAAGTGATCATCATGGAGTCTGGAGGCCAATTCCTTGGGTTAGCATTACTAGCCAGTCAGCCTTGGGCAAATTATGGTGCTTTCTTATCCCTGTTTTCTCTTATGTAAATTATGCATGGTTTTAGGATTTTTATTCAGTAAGCACTGAACAATGTGGGTGTAGATTAGGTATCCTGAATTTGTTCTTGGGTTGCTGTTTTGTCAGGGAGCTATATTTAGAGAAAAATGGGGCAAAGGAATTTTGGATATTACTAAGAGATCGATTAAAGTGATGGACCATATTGTTTAGGGAAGAAAAATAAAAGTTGGAGGGTGCTAAGAAAGGAAAGAGAAAGGAAAACAGTCAAAGGTTGTTGTAGAATAACCCTATAGCGTGATTAATTAAAAGAATGTTGTAAAAAGTTATGGTCAAGATGTTTTATTTTAATCAAATTGCCACCAGAATAGTTCTAGTGATGGCAAGGTCCAGAATGTAGCCATGGGACTTGGTCCAGGAAATGGAATGGATGTGAAGGACAAGGAATATAAGAAAATGAGATAAGTTGTCCATTGGGAAATCAGTATCATCTAAGATAATGGTAAGATGACTGCTTATACCTAAAGAAGATTTTTCATGTTTTTGCAAAAAAAAAAAAAGATAGAAAAAGAATATTAAAAAAATCACTGAATTGTTAAAAAGAGGGAGAAAAATGTATATGATACAAGTGGATGTGCTTCAAATTCTTACATTCTTTTTCTAATCTGTGTAACCTTTCTTTCTTTTAGAATTACTGTGTAAGGCCCAGTACTCCAGATTGAAGACTCAAAATAATTTGAGTTGAGGGTTAAGAAAATCAGACAGTAGTCAAGTAAAAATTTTAGTAAAAATTAGAAATGATAATGAACAATTATTAAGGGTATGTTGTGGAGATTTCAAATTAAATGCATCGTCTCATTAAATAAAAATGGCATTTAAAAAATTTCTACTCCCATGTTTGAATTGAATTGCTTTTATTTACTATTAAGTATGAAAGAGGATTGAAGCATCATCAGTGGGGAATGTGATGTCATTTTGGATTGAGTTCTGTTACTTGCTAATTGTATGGACTTGAGCCAAGTAGTAACAGGTTCTTTCCAATGTTAATTTCAAGTGTATTGTGAATTGTAGTTGGTTGAGTCAACTCACTTATTTTTTGTGGTTCTGGGTAGGAAAAAAGTGGTTAAATGAAGTGTAGTTTCCAAAGTTAGGTCAGTTGATGTACTTTCTCTTGCTAAATCTTTTCTTTTTCGTTAATCTTTTTAAAGAAGTTTAATGTATAGAAAAATAAGATAATACTGCTTTGTGGAGACACTGATGGACATTGAAATTATTAGGAATTTTATAGGGAGAAGGAAGAGAAAGAAAAAACAACTGGATAAGTACCTAGTCTCTGAACTATTGGACATTATCTGTTCCTGGGCTATTTTCCCATGTTTTTCTCTATGGTTAAATTTTAATGGGAAAAATATCCATTTATTTAAAATGTATGCTATCTGTGATGACTTAAAAACATAAGGGATTTTAGTAAACATTATAGGGCCAGGCTTTTATTGGAAAAATAAATTTTGGAATCTTAGCAAGCCCATGTAGAACCATAGGATTTCATGAAATGGTTACTGTTGTGTCCAAACTTTATCCTTTTTTTCCCTTAAATGAAGACATGGAATAATTATATTGAGATTAATTTACTACCTGTCTTTTAATTACAAGGTTATGGATGATTGACTTCTTTGGGCTCTTTAGGGGCCTCTTTAGTTATTCCTACAATAGTAACACCAACACAGATTTTTAAACACAAAACTATAGAACTCATAACATTTATTTTCATAACAGGAATTAACTGTGATGTTTTTGTTTAAACCAACCAACCAGTCACAGTATGAATGTAATGCTGGCTTCTTTGAGAGTGTTTTGACATGCCTGTACGTACCAGTTTTTCCACCACTCTCCTTTGTTATGAAACCTTCTGCATTATGTTGGGATGTTATTTGACCCTTAATGTGCATTATTTCCACATTAGATTCCTGTTTCTAGCCCTCAAAGCAGTTAAAGAAATACTAGTATCACTATGATCTCTGAAATCTAGTGATAGTACTTGATATATGTGATCATCCAGAATGATGGAAAATATGAATTTCCAGAGTAACATTAAAGTGAAAACAGAGAATATGGAAATTTTCATTGAGAACTTGAGCACCCTTAAGAATATGCATATGTCCTTGGTTTGAGAAACAGTATTATAAATTATATTGGGTTGGCCAAAAAGTCTGTTTAGTTTTTTTCCATAGAATAAAAGATAAATCTTTCATTTTCACCAATAGCTTTATTGATTTGGATATTTTGAACATGTCAGCTGTCTCCTGCATGCTATAACATTGATTGTTCTCAATTAATGCCTTGATTTGATTGATATCAACTTCCACTGGTCTATCCAGCTGTGGAACATCGTCCAGCAAGAAATCTCCAGCACGAAACTTTGCAAAGCACTTTTGACATGTTCGATTAGTCCCAGCACCTCCTCCATACACTGCGCAAACCTTTTTTTGCATTTCAGTTGCATTTTTACCTTTCTTGAAATAATAAAGCATAAGGTACCGAAAACGTTGTATATTTTCTTTCATAAGTTTTTTTTAAAATGCACGTTGATATGTCAGCTGTCATAATACAATCTGACAAAATTGTTTTGAATGAAGTTAAAGACAGCTAAGTGCTACTAGAGCCATTTCGTGGAAAAAACCAAACTCTTTGGTCAACCCAGTAATTTTCCCCTCATTTTTCACAATTACAGTGTTACAGTGATGAGGCATTTGACGCTGTGGATTATTGGAAGCTTAAGTGTATACAGGAAGGGGCAAAAGTGGGTTTACAGTCTTTGGTATGGAAAATAATACAATAATTAATAAATAATAATAGAAGAATAAACTTTGTTTTGTGTTCTCACAACTGTAAACCTACGTTTGCCTCATCCTGTACTTTACAGGTTTAGGCTTTATTTACATTTTTAAAAAAAATTAGTCTTTCTAGTTTTGGGGAGGGAGTGTGCCCAGTTTCTTTGGAAACAAGCTGTATTTTCCTTAATACCCAGATTTATTTCTCCTCTATAATACTTAGTAAATATCTTAAAAATGTTTTTAATTGTAGAAGCAATACATGTACATGGGAGATACAGTGTATAGAGTGGTATACTTCATTCCTAGTTCTGCTTCCCACAGTTAACCACTTTAACTTGTTAGGACAGTTTCTGGCTCTTACCAATATGTGTGCTGTATTTGTTTCTTGCATTTCAGTATCTGTTGACTCCTGATATGATGAATTTAACCCACTTAATGAGATATATTTGAGGTGTTCACTTGGGCCTGCATTTATTTGTGTTAACTTAGGGATCAAGGACTATGAGAATCCAGAGCATGCTTAATAGTGTCTAGACTAAATGCAGGAGTTAGCAATGATGTGTTCAAGAGAAAACAAATGTGAAAATACCAAAGCAAGAGGATTAAATTTAAGTGAGGTGAAAATTGGAGTAATTTCATAGGAAATACACAGTTGATTTAAATAGGTCTCTTTCTGTAGGTAAGTGCTCTCAAGCTGTATTAAGGGAGAGGTAACTTCCTTAACACTATGTATACTCTTCAGTCATTGTCCATTTTTGCTGCCTCAAGGTGAAGATGTGGAAAAAGTTTTGGATGAATGGAAGGAGTATAAAATGGGAGTACCAACATATGGTGCAATTATTCTTGATGAGACACTTGAAAATGTGAGTGTAATAAAATCAAGCATTTTTAGTTAAATGGTGACCAAATGTGTTATTTCTATAAATGTTTTAAATTGAGGTTTTAAAATATACTAGATTTTTATTGCTAAAAGACCATATTTTGAAAATTTTACCTGCATTTTGTGTTTTACTATTTTATACTTTTTACAGTATGGTTTATTGCAAAGTGCCCCTTCATTGTTGAAATACTTTAAAATGGGCAGAATGCCTTTCTCCACACTAGTAGTATATTCAGACTCCTGGAAGATAATTAAACCAAGTACTGTATCAAATTACTGGTGGTAACAGTTACCTGAAATAAGGAGAAAAATACCTTTGACTTTTGGAAAGGTGCATGGGAAAGCAAGACAAGTTTTATTTTTATCTGCTTGTTTTGTAGGTACTACTGGTTCAGGGGTACCTAGCAAAATCAGGCTGGGGATTTCCAAAAGGAAAAGTAAATAAAGAAGAAGCTCCTCATGATTGTGCTGCTAGAGAGGTGAGTTAAAACTCTTACTGCTGCTGCTTCCCTTTTTTTCTTTTTCTTTTTTTAAATTCTCACCTGAGCTCATGCTTATTGAATTTAGAGAGAGAGGAAGGGAGGGTAAGAAGCATCCATGTGAGTGAGAAACATTGATTGGAACAGCGATTGGTTGCCTCTTGAACGTGCTATGACTGGGAACTGAACCTGCAACCTAGGCATGTGCCCTGACCAGGGATCAGACCAGCAACTTTTCCACTTACAGGATGACGCTCCAGCCAACTGAGCCACACTGGCCAGGGCATAACTGTTACTTCTTTTGTTCGCATCTCTTTATCATTTATTCTTCCCTTATTTGTTTTTATTTTCTTTCATTATATATTTTTTATTGTATTATCTCTTTTAACTCTTTTGTCTGGGGGAGGGAGGAGGATAACTTCACCTCTCCTTTTAGAATTGGATTTGCACTTGGTAAAACATTTTGGCTATTATAACCATTGTTTTATGTTTATAGTTTTGGCTTCTAGACAAGGCACAATACAAGCTTTTCTAAGAAATTGACATTTGTTGCTCAAAACCCACTCTTGCTTCCCAGTACCAGTAGGATAAAGTTTAATTCTTTAAGTATTGAAACTCCTTCAGTTACCTCAACACAAAACTTAGCCTTCCTATATTTATCTTTATTTGCAGTCAAGAGATTTCATTCCTTGTCTCTCAAATTTGACTGGTTTGTTTCAGCCTTTAAACTTTTGCCCATGTTATTTCTCTACATAGAAAGTTCTCACTTTTCCCTGACTTTTCTAATCCTATCTAGGTACCTTTCTAGACCCAGCTCAATTTATCCTTATTTTCCAAAGGACTGTCACCAACTAGCTCTGTGCACAGGACCTGAGTTTCTTATTTGTAAGATGAGGTGTAGAGTGGTTAATTTCTAAAGTTTATTTCTACTTAAAATTCTATTTTTAAATCAAGCCAGTCAGCTCTGTCCCACAGTAATCTCTGAACTATAATAATAGTTGTTGTCTTTATTATTTGTTTGGCATTAATTATATAGTACTTTGTCATTATTCCTTTTGGCTCGGTATTCTCCTGCAGCAGTGTTCACGTCCTGGTTTAAGTCTGGATGTAATTATTAGTGAGGGGTAATAGTTGAATTTTTTATAAACCACTAGTGATTATCATATAAAAATTGTTAGTGGTTATTTACTTTGGAGTAGGATGTGACAATTGAAAATGCTGTGCTTTAAATTCAGTATGGAACAGCTTATTTAAGCAAGTATTTGCAACAGTTTGTAGACAAAGCCATTACATACAAGTCAGTGAAAGTTTATGTACACCCCTTAAAAGTGAAAGCTGTTAAGGGAGCAGGTGAGGAATTGCCACATTCTTTAAGAGCTTTCCCTTTTGTTGGGGGTGGGGGAGGGTGTGTGTGCGCGCACGCGCGCTCGCGCGGGGGGGGGGGGGGAGATGTGCTTGTTGAGTTGGCTCTGACTCCTGGAGACCCTATGAATGAGCTGTGTCCACAATGCCGTGTCCTCAACAGCCCTGCTCAGCTCCTGCAGACTCAGGCCTATGGCTTCTCTTTCGGACTCAGTCCATCTCATCTTTGGTCTTCCTCTTTTCCTGCTGCCTTCTCTTCTTAGCATTATTGTCTTTTCCTAAGAACCCTGCCTTCTCATGGTGGCAGGATATGAATTGGAGCAGTTGTAAAGTCTTTCCTTTTATGTTCTCAAACTTTGTAGTCTTCTAAAGAAGGACAAAATAGGGACCATAGATAGCGTCATATTTAGAGGTTGATCTGTAGTCTTGTATGTGCAGTTAGACTTGTCCTAAGGCAGACAGTTGTCCAGGTTCAGAAAAAACACTTCATTAGCTGAAATAACAAATTCAGGCTAATTGGAGTGAGATCGGCTGTCTCTGTAATTGGATCTTCTTGGGGGAACTTGGAGGAATCCAGATATCTACACTTGCAAAACTGAAGTATCCTAGACCCTAGGGGTCTGTCTACATCTACCACTAAAACCCTCCCTCTGCGTCAGGATGATGCAGAAATAGGGTATTTGCTTTAAGAGAGAGAGGCAGGTATCCTGTTAACAGAGGCACCCATTTTTCACTTTGTTTACTTTTTGTTTCCTGCTCTGGGATATTAACATAAAAGGCTGTCCTGCTCATGGGGTGCTAATTTCAATAATGCCTATAAATTACCATAATTTCTAAGGAAGTAAAAAAAAATTATATTTATTCTTAGAGCATGGGGAGTGGGAGAATGGAGTGTGGATGGTAGGATCTAAAGAGAGTCTTGAGGGAAGGGATCCAACCCTTATGGCAGGTTATCTCCATTTTATAGGCAAAGAGCTGAAACAGAGCAGTTTATGAACATGCCCAAGGCCACACAGCTAGTAAGCAGCAGAACAGGGATGTAAAACCCTGGAGTTGGGCTCTGGGGTCGGTGTTCTGGCCTACTGCAGTTTAGGCAGTCAAGGAATACTTGTAAAAGGGTGAGCATTTTTATACACACACAGATGAAGGTGGAAGGAATTTGTGATTTTTAAGTGTATCTGTGTTCTAATAAAATTTAAGATTCTGACTTGGATCAGTATGAAATTTGTTTTTTGTTTAGAGTTTTTGTCTTGCTCTGAAGAACCATAGTCTCTTAAGGGAAAATTTTTTACCTTTGATGATAAAAATTGATCCTAACTTCTAACCTTTCTGAACTAACATCCTTTTAGCTTAATAAAGGACCTCATCAGAAAAGGCTTGGCTTTAATTTTTGTAAATTTTGGATTAGGATTTTTAAAAGCAAGCCTTTTGACTTTTAGTCCTGATATTTAAATGACTACCTTGTGTCACAGATGACATAGTTTTGTCACAAAACTATGAAAAGTTTTGATACTAAGAGTATTGCTGTATTAGTCTACTCAGGTTGCCATAACAAAATAGCACAGACTGGGTGGCTTAAAGAACAGAAATTTATTTCTCACATTCTGGAGGCTGGGAAGTCTAAGATGACAGTGCCTGCTGATTCAGTTCCTGATGAGAGCCCTCGTCATGGCTAGCAGGTGGCAGCCTTCTCACAGTGTGCCCATGTGGCCTCTCCTGGCCACCTGTGTGAGTGTATGAGGAGAGCGCATTAATCCCCCCCTTATGACCTATTTTAACCTGTATCCCCTCCTCACAGGCCATAGCTCCAAATCCAGTCTGATTGGGAGTTAGGACTTCAACATAGGAATTTTGGAGGGACACAGTTCAGCCCATAACAGTTGCCATTTTTTGAATGATGAAGGTATTCAACTAGTTCTAGAGTTGCAATATGTCATTCTGCTACCTGGTGGTGCTGCAGTATAATAGAAGCAGCACTGAGGAATCACCAGTGTTAAGTCTTAGTTGCAAACTAGATTGTTGTTTCATTCTTTATGGGAATTTATGTTAACATCACATTGTTCCTTTTAATTTTCATATTATTAACATACAAGGAGAAATTTTACCCTAATTGTGAGCTGCATTTGTTAGACTTAGGCTGATGTCTTAAGTACTTTTTCTCTTGCTTTTAAGTTACGCAGTTCTACCATGGATGATTACCCATATATTAAGTTGCTAATATTTTAATTTGGTTATTATAGCATTTTATTTTCATTTATTATGGTTATATCAGTGTTATTATTTCACTGTAGATGACCATCCGGAGGTGTTTTGTTACGCTATAGCAGATTTGACACATCCCTTGAGAGTGGTCTGTGGGCTGAGCTGTAAGAAGCAGGGCAAGCAGGCTTCTCAGGGAAAAGGTTTGAATGATTGTCAATAGAAAGCTAAGGCCCAACCTTCTCTTTGACCTTTTTGGTTTACCTTTGTTAATTGGGTTATTTCTGATCATTTTTATTCTGTGAAGTAGATTTAGGGCAAAAATGAAAAATGTTTTCTAGATACTGTTATAAAGGATATGTTAGGATAACCTCACTCTATTTGTTGTTAGTAGTGGTGAAACATTAGCTGTTCTTGGGAACAGACAAGTGATACTTGGCAGTTCACTTGTGGTTTCAAGGTTTCATATTGTTGCTTATTTGACAAAACAATATATTTTATTGTAATGAAGCTGACTATGCCTTTGTATGATTTTATCTTTGTAGAATCTGTACAAAAGAACTATTGGTTGGCATTTTCTTCCTCTTCCTGTAGACTTAAAGGACATATAGGTAGAGGATTTCGTCATTTGTCTATGCTGGTGCTCTTTTGGTAGCACATTTTTAAATCTTAGGGATTTTTATCTGCTACTATTGGAGAAGTTAATACCATTCAATGTGCCAGGCATATGAACTATGTATTACAGTACAGGAATGGATGTGATTCACAGAAGGTGTGGTATTAAAATTTTTGTCATTGGTGTTTGTACCTGTGAGTTTTACAATTTTTTCCTGGTAAACATTTCTTGAGAGTGAATATCTAATTTTAGAGGCAAATCAGTCTGTTTCACTTTTGGAATTGAGAGGTTACGTCTCATTGTATTTGCTCTAGTTTTGATTGCACAGAGTTGGAAGCTGTCTGTGGTAGCATTGATGGCCTTTTCATTTTGCATCATATTGTATCACTTCTGCCCATATGATTTTCCAACTATAGCCATTCCCAACTATCTAAATGGAATGCTTTTTTTTCTTTTTATCTCTGGCAAACCCCTGTTCATCTTTTAAGTGCTAGCCCAAGTGTATCTAGCAGAATAGGAATGCTGTCCATGACAGCCTTCCAAAGGTGACCACCGCAGGTCCCACCTCACTTCTACCCAGGGCTGAGTTAGACTCTGTGCCTCCCACAGCACACAACTATCTCTTGGCACATTTATTATATTACAGTTATTTTTAGCCTGCCTACTTAAAGAGTAGTGCTTGCTTTATTCACTTTTGAAGTCAGTAACTAGGATCATATCTGTCAGTTGTTAAGTTCATGGTATGTATTGTTATATTTGAAAAGAACTAAGTATTAAATACATGTGATTCTTAAAAAGATTGCTTTAGTAGTGAGGTAATTGCAAGTATGAAGAAAGAAAATAGTAAGAATAATACAAAGAATAGATTTACCCATTAATATTTTGCTATGTTTGCTTTATTATTTTTGATACATGTGTGCATGGTTTTTATTATTGTTGTTGAATAAAACTTTGGAGTAAATTGTAAGTATAATGCACCTAAACCCCTTACTGCTTCTGCATGGAAATTTTTTTAAAGTATATTTTATTGGTTATGTTATCACAGTTGTCCCAATTTTTTCCCTCTTCGCCCCCTCCACCCGGTATCCCCTTTTCCCTCCAGCAGTCCCCTGCCCCTTAGTTCCTGTCTGTGGGTAGCGCATATAAATTCTTTGGTGCCTCCATTTCCTGTTATTCTTTACACCCCCCCTGTCTATTTTATGCCTACCAATGATGCTTTTTACTTCCAGTTATCTTTTCCCCCATTTTTCCCATCCCCCTCCCAGCTGATAACCCTCCAAATAATCTTCATACCTATGATTATGTTCATACCTCTGATTCTGTTCCTCTTCTGGTTGTGTGCTTAGTTGGTTTCTTTCCTTTTTTCTTTGATTCAGTTGTTGTTAGTTGTGAATTTGTTGTCTTTTTAATGTTCATAGTTTTGATCTTCTTTTCCTTAAATAAGTCCCTTTAGCATTTTAGGTAATGGCTTGGTGATGATGAACTCCTTTAGCTTTACCTTGTCTGGGAAGCACTTGATCTGCCCTTCCATTCAAAACGATAACTTTGCTGGGTAGAGTAATCTTTGTTGTAGGTCCTCGCTTTTCATCACCTCCCATACTTCCTGCCAGTTCCTTTTTGCTTACAAAATTTTCTTTTGAGAAATCAGCTGATAGTCTCATGGGAGCTCCTGTGTAAGTAACTTTCTTCTTTTCTCTTGCTGCTTTTAAGATTCTCTACCTTAAACTTTTGGCATTTTAATTATGATTTGTCTTGGTGTGGTCCTCTTTGGGTCCAACTTGTTTAGGACTCTCTGTGCTTCCTGGACTTGTATGTCCATTTCTTTCACCAAATTAGGGAAGTTTTCTTTCATAATTTTTTTCAATTTCATGCTTTACCTCTTCTCCTTCTGGCATCCCTATGATTCAGATGTTGGCACATTTGGAGATGCCCCTGAGGCTTCTTATACTATTTTTGTGTTTTTGAATTCTTGTTTTCTTTTTCTGTCCTGGTTGAATGTTTATTTCTCCCTTATGTTCCGAAATTGTTGATTTGAATCCTGGCTTCCTTCCTTTTGGTTCCCTGTGGATGTTTTCATTTGTTTCACTTAGTGTAAGTGTCATTTCTTTGTTTTTGCTGTACTGAGTGAGTTTTTTGAGCATCCTGATCACCAGTGTTTTCAACTATGCATCTGATAGGTTGGTTATCTCTTTCATTTAGTTCTTTTTTGGGGGTTTTGTTCTGTACTTTCATTGGGGTCATATTTCTTTGTCTTCTCAATTTGGCAGCTTCCCTCTGTTTCTTGTATTAGGTAAAGCTACTTTGACTCTCTGTCTTGGTAGAAAAGGCTCCTGTAAATTGTGTGGGGCAGAACCTTAGGTAATCGCCAGGACGGTGCAATGTGCCTCACTTGTTTGTGGCACTGTATTGGGGGAGGGCTTGGAGAGGGGACTGTGCCACTGTATGGCTTCTGGAGGTTTGCCCCGCTCTTGCCCCGTTTCCCGTCACTTCACTCACTTCCTGTATGTGACTTGCGTCCTTCCAGCTCTTTTGCCCTGGTGTTGAACCCCAGAGTGGGTGGATTTGCATACGTTTTAAGACTGTTTGGACCCTTTAAGGAGAGTTTCCTGAAAATCTGTCAGTTTCTTCTGCTGCCCCACACCCCACTGGTTTTTACAGCTAGAAGTTATGGGGGTTTATCTTCCCAGTGCTGGAACCCTGGGCTGTGTGGTGTGGCCTTGGACTGGGATTGCTTGCTCCCAGGGTATCCCTCCCAATTTTTATCCACCACACATGAATGCAGCTCCACCTATGCCTGTTCTGCTGCTGCGGCCTCTCCACAGCACACTGCATCTCCTTGCCTCTCGGCCGGTCTCTATGACTCTGTGCCACCTACCCTCCTGCCCATCTGGATGAATGTGGCTTCTTTAAATCCTTGGTTGTCGGACTTCAATACAGCTTGCTTTTCTGATGGTTCTGGGTGTTATTTGTTTGGAGATTTGGTTGTAATTTTTTTTGTGTGGTTGCGTGAGGAGGTGAGGTATGTCTACCTATACCTCCATCTTGACTGGAAGTCTGCATGGAAATTTTAAGAACTAGGAAGTATCTTATGTAGTTATCAAGGGAAATGATCAACTTCAGGAATGTAACATTTATAGGTGCCATTATCGAATGGAGGGGTCATATGCAGATTTACTAATTACCCCATTGTAGTTCTTTCCAGCAGCTTCCAGCCGCTCCCTCAGTCAGTATCCTCTTCAGGCTCATGCATTGTACAATTGGTAACACAGAGGTAACAGACTTTGCTCGTTAAGAATTTAGATTATGCAGTTTGCTTTTAACATCATTTGTAATTATTATGTAGACTTACATGACTAGATGTGTATACTTATTTATGATTATAAGGTATTTTCAAAGAAGAGAGCTAAAGAGAATAGCTGTAAAAAAAAAAACGTATATGGTGGGGCAATAGTAGTATACAGTTGTGAGTACACAAAACAGTTTATTCTTGTATTATTATTTATTGTTATTTTCCATATGAACAACTGTAAACCTACTTTTGCCCTACCCTGTATACAAATTATTTTTAAAACTTTTTTTTTGTTGGTGGATGAAAACCTAAAGTATACTAATCGCAACATTATCATTTTTGTATATCTATATACCTTTGAAACCACTATCCCAATCAAGATATAGGGGTTTTCTGGAGCCTCAGATTTCCTTCCCCTTCTCAGTCAATACCTATTATATTCCACATTTCCTGGAGGAAACCAAAAATTTAGCATACTTAGGTATATACAGAAATTGTGATAGAAATGAGTTAGGTGCTGTGGAGGAACTTAAATTGGAAGTCAGAGACTACATGTGCCTGAGAGAAGTACTGAGGTTCCCTGATTGAGGAAGGTAGGAAGATGTCCATGAACTGACGAGATAAAGAGGGAGGAGACAAAAAATGGGTAGAAAGAGCCCCTCTACACCTGTACCTGGTAAGAGATTCAGGCCTGTGCATGTGTTTTAATTTTTCCCCACTTACTGATTAGGAGATGCTGAATATAGTGGAAGGGGGAGAAACTCCAGCATGAAGATCCACAGTAGTTTTTAGCCACTGAGTGTGGAGTTTCCCTGCTTTCTCCTAGAGCAGCACTCTATTGCCAGATATCCATGTGTTCAACAACCTGGAAGCTGTTGAACTACATCCTCCTGGTTTTTTCTGGAGGCTTCAAGACTTGGGCATAGTTGATTATTGGCCATTGGCGAATGAACTCAGCCTCAGCCTTTCTCCCCTTTTTGGAGGTTCCAGCCCTCTACTCACTTGGTTGGTTCTCCTGATAACCAGCCTCCATTCTTCCTTGTGTAAACAATGGCTCATTAACCTAACAAGACACCTTTGATGCTCTTATCTCTTAGGAAGTTCCAAGGGTTTTAGGAACTATGTACCAGAAAGGGGGAAGAAGACCTAATATATATTTCTTATTGTAGATCACAGTATCACATATCTTCCTTCATTGAATAAATGAAGAAACTTAGGCTCAGTATGTAAAGAGGTTTTTCCATAGTCGAACAGTTCAGTAGAGGCAGAGCTAGAATTAGACCCTGGAATATTTGGACTTCCTGCGCAGTGTTTTCATGCTTTTAATTGCCTGGATATTTCTGAATTTTTGCCTTTGAAATAAGCACATTTTAATGAACTGGAGGTCTCACAGCAAAAATTAAGTCATCCAAATTTACTATTTCCAGGTCTTTGAAGAAACTGGTTTTGATATCAAAGATTATATTTGTAAGGATGATTACATTGAACTTCGAATTAATGACCAGCTTGCTCGTTTGTACATCATTCCAGGAATTCCAAAAGATACAAAATTTAACCCAAAAACCAGAAGAGAAATTCGGGTATGTACTTGAAAGTATTTTCAGGTTGCTGGACATTATCTCAATTGAATGAAATAGGAAATTGCTTTTAGAAACTCCTTGATTATAATTAACTAAATGAATTATTTTCTTCTTATGTTTCAGAACATTGAATGGTTCTCCATAGAGAAATTGCCCTGTCATAGAAATGATATGACCCCAAAATCCAAACTTGGTTTGGCTCCTAACAAATTTTTTATGGCTATTCCCTTTATCAGGTATGTTCATATTTCTTGAAATAAAAAACTAACCTTTATAATTCTGATACTCAGTTTTTTCATATAGCCAAGATTTAAAAGTGAATTCTTAATGTTTCCATAGACCATTAAGGGATTGGCTTTCTCGAAGATTTGGAGATTCCTCAGACAGTGACAATGGATTTTCCTCAGCTGGTAGTACACCAGCTAAACCCACTGTGGAAAAATTGAGGTAAAGAAATATATTCATAAGATTCTGACTTTCTGATAGTTTTTAGTTTTTAATACAGTAGTATTTTGCTTCTAAAATTTGCAGAGGTGTTGGATTCCTTTATAGGTACTATTTTGTTACTGGTCTCACAGAATTTTTTGGTTTTTTTAAAAGGGCTTTTTTATGAGATGAAAAAGGTTACTTTGAATTGGGAAGGAGGATACCAAACTCTATGAATAGATAGAGAGGAGGAAAAGAGAAATTGTCTGTGTGTTTATATTGTTTCTTCTCTGTTCTCATAGTCTACTTTAGACATAATCATGTTTCTGAAGGTGGTGGAATGGCGGATATGTTTAAGTCTCTCTTTGTGTAGGGGAGATGAAGGATGCCTGTGTAAAATTTGTTCAGAAAGAGCTATGAAGACTTGGGTGGGCTTTATTTCCCTAGTATATAAAGAGTGACTATTACATAGATATAAACCACAAAGAGCATTTTCTTGTTTTGAACTTAATAGTATCTAAATCATAATTACAGAGTAGGCTGAGTAAGTAATTTTGTTCAATATGCACATATATTTGTAATCAGCTTGTTAGAACTTTGCCTGTGTTAGGTTAAAAGAGTTGCTTTTTACATTTTCTTTAATTTAGATGTTGTTTTTATCCCAGAGCTTCAGAAATTAAACTGTAGAAGGAAACCACCTCTTCAGTGAATATTTTTTAAATACATAGAGAATATTCCATTTTAGGTGGGGTTTATGACAGAAGCTTGGACTAAATGTCATTTCTGCCTTTCAAAATTTATGATTATAATAACCAAATTATATACACTAGATATAAGTGAAATAGTTAAGAAAAAAGTAAAGTAGACAAGAATGCAGCCAGTTGTGAAAAGATACAAAGATACTACTTAAAAGTTATGAAATAGTGTTTGGAAAAAATTATATGACTGTCCATTGGGAAAATTTATCTACCATAGTGTGATATGACACCTATATCTTTTAGTCTTAGGGTTTGTAGTCTTGGGGAGTAGAATAAGGAAAAAATAAACCAACCTCTTTAACCAAATTTAAGGTTTCTTAGGGAGGGCAGTGTATGTTTTTAGTGTATAGACTAATGTCTGTGTTGATGTGTTGAAGTATCTGAACTTTGTCTAAAGAAAGAACAGAGAGGCTAAAATTGTATTGTAATTTTTAAGTGAGAGATGGGAAGTATTCTGAAATATTCAGAAACAAGCTTATCAAATTCAGTTCTTGGGATTAGTAATTGGATTATATTATACATGTAAGTGGTACTAAAGAACAGGATTTCTTTATTACAAACTATTGGCATGGGTATAACCTTTTTTTTTTTTTTTAAAGATTTTATTTATTTTTAGAGAGAGGGGAAGGGAGGGAGAAAGAGGGGGAGGAAGCAGCAATGTGTGGTTGTCTCTTGCACGTGTCCCCTACTGGGGACCTGGCCACAACACAGGCATGTGTATTGACTGGCAATTGAACCAGCAACCTTTTGGTTTGTAGGCCGGCACTCAGTCCACTGAGCCACACCAGCCAGGGCAAATATAATCTCTTATAATCAAGTTCTTTTGCTTAAGAATTTGACTGGATCTTTAATTTGCTTATCCATTGTCTTGAGTCCCTTAATTTTTTGCTTTAGAGTATAGCTTAATTTTTCATACCCTTCTTCCAACATGGATGGGGTCCATAACTGACTTGTGTAGAATCAAGTTCCACACTTTGAACATCCCAGTAAGAATATCAACAGTCCTGTTCTATTAAGATGGAAAATCTACTTATGTTTGTTTCAACAAAATTTACACAGAATTGTTTTTTTTTCACATTTTTAAGAGTATGATCACTTATACGGAGGAGGTGGAATGGATAGTTTAGAAAGGTTTGGGATGAAAAAAAAACAGGTTGGAGAAATTAAGATGGTGGAGGAGTGAATGGAAGTCACACTGACCTCCTCCCAGGACCAATCTGGAATTACAACTAAATTATGGAGAAATCACCTGGAACAAACAACTGAACAATAGCAAGAGAGGAGCTTTATGACCTCGGACAGAGAGAGGAATCAGCTTTAACACAACCTAACTGCCACTTACCCTAGTCTCTGGCAAAGGCGGGGACAGAGTGGATTGGAGACGCCTGAGGAGAGACTGGGAAAGGAGGCTTTGGGGAGAGAACTGAGCAAATAGCCAGCAGGATCCTGGTGCTGACGCCTCCCCCATACGGCAGCAGCTGTCTGGCTCAGGCGAACCACTCCCCTTAGCAGCAGCAGCCTGAGAGGACCCAATAACCCCACCTCCAGGAGGAACTCTGTCCCCCGCTTGTCGTGCCTAAGTGTGAGTGCGCAGTGACTAGATTAACAACCGAAGGAGGCAGCCACAGGCAGTAGACTCCTGGGAGTCTCGAACAGACTGCCTAAGGTCAGACGTGGTTAACATCTGACATCATCAGAGGCAGATCCAGAAAGAGAAAAAAACAGCGGGCTCCTATCATAGAAGTTCACACCACAAAGTCAAGTGGACAAGACATCAATTTAAGAAGCAGAAGCAGAAAAGAAGTCTCACAAATAATTGGAAGACAAAGAAAGACCCCCCAATCGAAGGGAAAGGAGGAATTCCCACAAAGAGAACTAACTGAAATAGAGGCAAGTAAACTCAGATATTGAGTTGTAAACAGCGGTTTGAAAGCAGCTCAGTGAGCTCAGAAAGAATTACAAAAAACTACAGGGAAACTACCAGGAACTTACTGCAAACTATATCATCATGAAAAAGGACACAGAAACTTATCAATAAGAGGCAAGAGGAAATGAATACAATTTATGAATTGAAGAACACAGTAGAAGGAATCAAAAGCAGGCTCGATGAAGCAGAGGATTGAATCAGAGAGCTGGAGGACAAGGTAGAAAAAAGCTCCCAGAAAGAGCAAGAAAATGAAAAAAGACTCAAAAAGAATGAAGAGGCATTTAGGGAAATGTGGGACAACCTTAAACGTAATAATATCTGTATAATAGGGATACCAGAAGGGGAAGAGAAGGAAGGGATAGAGAACCTGTTTGAAAAAATAATGATGGAAAACTTCCCTAATCTGAGGAGAGAAAAAGTCACACAAGTCCAGGAAACAGAGAGAGTCCCATTCAAGAGGAACCCATTGAGGCCCTCTCCAAGACACATCATAATTAAAATGACAAATATCAAAGACAGAGAATCCTAGAAGCAGCAAGGAAGGAAGAGGTAGTAACATTCAAGGGAGCCCTGATATGGCTCGCATCTGGCTTCTCAACAGAAACACTACAAGCAGAAGGGAATGGCAAGAAATCTTCCAAGTAATGAAAAGCAAAGGCTGCTCTACCCTACAAGGCTCTCAAATAAAATGGAAGGCAAAGTAAGGAGTTTCCCAGAGAAAAGAGGGCTAAAAGAATATAGCTCCACCAAACCAGCATTGCAAGATATGCTAAAGGGACTGTTTTAAGAAGATGAAGAGAAAGAGTCTATGAATACCCAGTTCCTTTCACAGTCACCAATACTTGATATTACCATTATTTTTAATACCTAATTAATCTGATTGTGACAATGATGTGTTACTTTATTCCTTTATTATTTGTTGAAACTAAACTTGTTTTTGTATATTCCTTGTCTCTATTATTTTTAAAAAGCTTTAAATGACTCTTTGGTATTCTTTATTCATTTCTTGACTAAATGTAGAATTTTTTCCCTTAAAAAAATAAAACTATTAACCCTTTTTTTAAAATATGTTGCAAATACTTTCCTATTCTATTACTTGTCCTTTAATTTTTTATATGTGTATTACTCTATAGTGTCAAAAGTTTAATATAGTCATATTGTTAATATTTTACTTTATAGCTTCTGGGTTTGAATATGTTACTTCAGGGTAAGAAAAATATTATTTTGTATTTTCTCCTAAAACTTCTTAGGTTTTACATATTGATTTTTAACTCACCTGAATATTTTTTGTATAATGCATGAAATAGGGCTCTATATTTCTTTTATTTCAAGTAATAGTGGTCCATGCACTTTATTTGTTGAATAAGTCTTATTTACCCTATTGATTTGAAATATCAGTTTAATCATATATTAATTCTTAGACATATACATTTGTTTCTAGAATGCTTATTTTATTGATGTACTTGATTATTTCTGTGCTGGTGTCATGTTGTTTTAATTGCTGAGACTTTATAATGGATTTAAAGTTCTTAATATTTTATAATGGATTTGGACATTTAAAAAAATAAATAAAATCAATCTGCATTTAAAAAAGAAAAAGAAGAGAAGGAACTCTTACCTTTTGTGACAATATGGTTGGACCTGGAGAATATTATGCTAAGTGAAATAAGCCAGTTGGTGAAAGACAAATACCATGTGATCTCGGACTCTATTCAATAAAATAACAAGCAAAATAAACCACAGGCAAGGAAACATGGAGCAGACTGAAAGTGACCAGAGGGGATGGGGAAAGAGGACAGTGGTGGAAAGAAGAAGGGTCTAGACAAAGAACATGTATGAATAACCCTTGGACATGGACAACAGTGTGGGAACTGACTGTGGGAGCAGGGGATGGGATGGGATGGGTGGAGGAGGGCGAAGGGGGAAAAATTGAGACAACTGTAATAGAGTAAACATTTTTTTAAAAATGGCAGGTTATTCTTTGAAGAAATATTCAACCCCAGACATTTTTCTCCGTGCTGGAGATAGTAGATAGAGCCAACTTACCTGCCAGTAGGGGGGAGGTAGACAATTTAAATAAAGTAAGATTTATACTCTGTAAGATAAGCTATCATGGTGTTAGAAAAACTGTAAGTGAAAATTTTCTGATGTGATTTTTATTTTTTAAACCTTGGCATAGTCAAACCAAGTTCCGCCACAGTCAGCAGTTATTTCCTGAAGGTTCTCCAGGTGACCAGTGGGTAAAGCACAGGCAACCACTGCAGCAAAAGCCATATAACAATCATTCTGAAACGTCTGACCTTTTAAAAGCAAAGGTGAGTGATACACATTTAAAGATTTTCATAATTTTAGATCATTTGACTTTGAAATGTATCTGAACTGAGGAATAGCAGTCTAATAGTTACAGAACTCTGAATTTTTGTTGAAAGACTCCTGTGTCCCTGACTTGTGATTTGAAGCAGGGCTGAGACTCAACTTTTACAGCTTTGCTATAAATCCAGTATAGTAACTAACAGATTAACATCCGACTTTGGTACATATGATTCATTGCTGTGTTATATTCTAGGCTGTGATTATATGACAACTTACTTACCCATTATACTTTTCTTTTTAATTTTTTTATTTTTCAGCTATTGTCGACATACTATATAGCATTAGTTTCAGGTGTACAACAATGATTATACATTTATATAACTTAAAAAGTGATCACCCTGATAAGTCTCGTACCCATATAATACCATATATGGTTATTATAATATTGACTGTATATCCTATTCTGTACTTTATATCTCTGTGACTATTTTGTAACTGCCAATCTGTACTTTATTTTTTTAAGATTTAAAAAAATTGTTATTGTATTACAGTTGTCCTACTTTCCCCCGCTTTGTCCTCCTCTGCCCATCCCACATCCCACTCCCTGTACTTTTTTAATTCCTTTACCTTTTTAACCCAGCACCCCTCTCATCTGGCAACCATCAGTTTGTTCTCTGTATTTGTCAGTTTGTTTCTGTTTTGTTTACTTTTTAAAAATATATCACATATAAGTAAAATCGTATGGTATTTGCCTTTTCTGTCTGACTTATTTCACTAGCATAATATACTCTAGGTTCATCCATGTTGTCACAAATGGTAAGATTTTATTCTTTTTTAAGGCTGAGTAATCATTCATTGTATGTACATACCACCTCTTCTTTATTTGTCTATTAGTAGATGCTTAGGTTGCTTCCATTTCTTGACTACTGTAAATAATGCTGCAGTGAACATAGAGATGCATATATCTTTTTATTTTATTTTTAATTTTTGATTTAATTTTTATTTTTTTCCATTGCATATATCTTTTTAAATTAGTGTTTTGGATTTCTTCAGAAAAAGATCCAGAAGTGGGATTGCTTGGTCATAATGTAGTTTTATTTTGAATTTTTTGAGGAACCTCTATACTCTTTTCCATAGTTGCTGCATTAATTTGCAGTCTCACGAACAGTGCATAAGCATTCCCTTTTCTCCATATTCTTTCCAACACTTGTTTATTGATGATGGCCACTCTGACAGGTGTGAGGTGATAAGTCATTGCAGTTTTAGTTTGTATTTCTCTGTTGATTACTGATATTGAGCATCTTTTCATATGTTTATTGATCATCTGTATGTCCTTTTTGGAGAAGTGTCTATTCAGGTTCTCTGCCCATTTTTTAAATTGGATTGTTTGTTATTACGGTGTTAAATTGTATGAAATTTTCGGATTTATTATTGGCAAATATCTTCTTCCTTTTAGTAGATTATCCTTTTGTTTTGTTGTTGATTTTCTGTGCTGTGCAAAAACTCTAGTTTGATGTAGTTTCATTTTTTCTTTTTTTGTTCCCCTTGTCTGAGGAGACATTCTCTCCCTCCCCCCCGCCAAAAAAATACTATCATGAGTGATGTGAAAGAATTTACTGACTATTCTTTTGTTTTTTTTAAGATTTTATTTTTTAGAGAGAGGAGAAGGGAGAGAGGGAGAGAGAGGGGGAGGGAAACATCAGTGTGCGATTGTCGCTCACATGCCCTCTACTGGGGACCTGGCCCACAACCCAGGCATTTGCCCTGATTGGGAATTGAACCAGCAACTCTTTGGTTCACAGGCCAGCACTCAATCCACTGAGCCACATCAGCCAGGGCCCTGTTTATTCTTCTAGGAGTTTTTTGGCATGGGGTCTTAAATTTAAATCTTTAATTCATTATGAGTTTATTCCTGTATATGCGGTATAAGAAAATGAGCCAGTTTCTTTTGCTTGTGTTGTCTAGTTTTCTCAACACCATTTATGGAAGAGACTGTTCTTTACACCATTGTATAATTTTGCCTACTTTGTCATAGATTAATTGATCATGCAGGTGTGGGTTTATTTCTGTATTTTCCATTGATCTGTGTGTCTGTTTTCATGCCAGTACAATGCTGTTTTGATCACTATAGCCTTATGGAATTTTTTTATATTAGATAGTGTGATATCTCCAACTTTGTTATTCTTTATCAAGATGGCTGTGGTTATTTGGGATCTCCTGTCATTCCATATAAATTTTTCAATTATTTGTTCAAGTTCTGTGAAAAATGCCATTGGTATTTTGACAGAGATTGCATTGAATCAGTTGATTGCTATGGGTAGTGTGGACATTTTAACGATATTAATTCTTCTTATTCATGTGCATGGTATATACATCTTTTTTTTGTATCTTCAGTTTCTTTCTTCTATGACTTAATTTTCTGTGTACAGGTGTTTTACCATCTTGGTTAATTTTATTTGTAGGTATTTTATTTTTGGAGCAATTATAAATGGGATTGTTTTTTAAATTTCTTTTTCCAGTAATTTGTTATTGGTATATATAAAAATGCAACCCATTTCTGAATATTAATTTTGTGGCCACCTACTTTATTGAGGTGATTTATCAGTTCTAGTAGCTTTTTGGTAAACTCTTAAGGGTTCTTTGTATTACATCACATGCAAACAATGACAGTACTTCCTTTTCAATTTGGCATGCCTTTTTTTTTTTCTTGTCTGATTACTGTGGCTAGGACTTTAATACTTTTAAATAGAAGTGTGGTGAGAGTGCATAGCCGTCTTGTTTGTAATCTCAAGGAAAACGCTTTTAGCTTCACCATTGACTATGATGTCAGCTGTGGTTCCTATATAGCCTCTTAAAATGTTGAGGTATGTTTCCTCTGTTCACACTAGTTTTAATAAAAAATAGATGGTGAATTTTGTGAAATGCTTTTTCTGCATATGTTGATACGGTCATATGATTTTTGTTCTTCATTTTGTTTATGTGGTATATCATGTTAATTGATTTGCAGATATTAAACCAACTGCATTGTAGGGATAAATCCCACTTGATCGTGGTGTATGATCTTTTTAATGAATTGGTGGATTTTTCTGGTTACTGTATTGTGCAGGATTTTAGTATCTGTGTTCATCAGGGATGTTGGCCTATGTATGTATTTTTTGTAATGTCTTTGATTTGCAGTCAAGGTAACTGGCCTCATAAAATGAGCTTGGGAGCTTTTTCTGATCCTCAGTGTTTTTTGAAATAGTTTGAGAAAGATAGCAGTTAAACCTACTTTTTGGTTTAACCATTTGGATGCCACTTTTTATTTTCATTCTTCCAAAAAATATACTAGATTCATCAAAATTAAAAGCTTTTGTGCATCAGAGGACACCGTCAACAGAGAGAAAAGGTACCTACAGAGTTGGAGAATATATTTATAAATCATTTATCTAATGGGTTAATAGCCAAAACATATAAAGAACTCAAACTGAAGAGAAAAAAAAAAACCCAATTAAAAAATGGCACCTTGAATAGACATTTCTCCAAAGAAAATAAACAAATGGCCAATAAGCACATGAAAAGATGCCCAACATCATTTGTGAACAGCAAAATGCAAAATATTTTTTTCCTTTTTATTCTTGTGCAATGACAGCTGTTCCCCCCCATTTTCCCCCTATTACTGTCCCCTGTCCTATCCACCCCCACGTCCCACATTCAGCCCCCCACCCCCAATTGTCTTTGTCTGTAGGTCCTTTATACATGTTCCTTGATGACCCTCCCCTCTTCTTTGCTGTTATTCGCCTCCCCCCTCCCTTCTGGTTATTTTCAGTTTGTTCTTTATTTCCATGTCTCTGGTTCTGTTTTGCTCGCTTGTGTGTTTTGTTTTGTTTTGTTTTGTTTTGTTGATTAGGAGAAATGCAAATTAAAACCACAATGAGATACTACTTTATACCCATTAGGATGGGTATAATAAAGAGAATGGAAAATAATTGTAAGTGTTGACAAGGATGGCGGGGAAATTGGAACCCTCATGCATTGCTGCTGGAAATGTAAAATGCTGTAACTGTGATGGAAAACAATTTGGCGATTCTTCAAGAAGCTAAACATAGAGCCCTGGCTGGTGTGGCTCAGTCGGTTGGGCCTTGTCCCACAAAGTGAAAGGTCCTGGGTTCGATTCCCGGTCAGGGCACATGCCTGGGTTGCAGGTTTGGTCCCCAGTTGGGGTGTGTATGGGAGGCAATCAGTTGATGTGTCTCTCCCTCTCTTTCTTGCTCCCTTCCTCTCTCTCTTGAATTAATTTAAAAAACAACAAAAAAAAAAACCCTAATCATAGAATTACTATATGACCCAGTAATTCCACTCCTAGGCATATAATCAGAAGACTTGAAAGCAGAGACTAACAAATCCTAAACTAAGGTATTAACTCCTCCTAGCTGAGATGGGACTCAAAAATATAACCTTGGATACCAGTGTTCATAATAGCATTATTCATTATAGCCAAAAGGTGGAGGATGAAACATCTGGTGGTGGTTGCACAACATTGTTCCTATATTTACTGCCACTAAATGGTACACTTTAAAGTGGTTAAGGTGATAAACTTTATGTGTATTGAACCACTTACAATGAAAAGTGAATACCAGCAAGAGCAGAATGGAATTGAATTAAAATTGTGTGGTAACATGAGTTTCTAAAACCGGTATTTGCCTGCCATTCTTTAGTTAAGTTAGCTTATTGTTTTTAAGCTCTTTTAGTAATTATTTAACGTTTTCTGTAGGTAGATAAAATGTAAGTAAATGAATGTATTTTTTTTATATATTTTAAATAATAATAGTTATTTTATACACATTGTTTTAGCCAAGCCTCCGAAAGAGCTCTTCTTTCAACATCTCTAAGGGCAAATTAATGTTTAAAACTGTTTTAAATTACACTTAGAATTTTTTAAAGAAAATTACCTTGTTTTAAAGCAGTATAATAGGAAGATGTCAGCTATTGTGTGTTTAGGTTTTAGGTCTAAACTTAGAGATAATGGCTCAAATTTTTTGAAACACTAGGCTTTACTTTATAAAATGAGAATATTTTAAAATACTTATTTATCAATTTAAAGTGGATTATATGGTAACTGATGATTGCATCTGCTGCATATTTCCGGTTTTAAGAACTGCGGCCATTGTGCCTTGACATTCCCTCCCAGAGAGCTTTTTTTGGGCAGTCCTGTAAGGTTTTCATACTTGTTCCTTTACCTTCCCATTGTTTTTTAACTCATACCGAAACAATCTGTAAGCAGAAATGGGATAAGGTAAGAGGTGTGGAAAGATTCCTAGGACCCTTGCTTTGTGAAACACTATCTTTTATTAGAAAAAAATATTGATATGGTATGATTCCCCAATGTTTTAGTAAGGTTTTTTGGGTAGGGAGGTTCTTTGCTACACTCTGATTTAACCAGCTTATCAAATTCATAGGGGTGTGTTCTTTTTCCCTATTACATTATAGTCTAGGTTTACATTTTATCTTTCCTTATTGTAAAAGCAGAATCAAAGTATGAGGGGAAATGGCAGAAAACAGTATCAAGACTCACCTAATCAAAAGAAAAGAACAAATGGGGTCCACAGCCAGCCAGCCAAGCAGCAGAATTCCTTGATGGTAAGAATTACAGTTCTCACACTAAGCAGTGACTTTGCCCTTTTTAAGAGTGGGGAAAAAGACATTTTCAAGGCATATCGAGATAAAGGATTTTTATGGAGTGAAATTGTACAGTTACCCACTAAAAATCTTTTTGGCTACTTTCAGTTATAGGTTTGTTAACATTGATTCAGTGGCACATGTAATGCTTGTTTTTTTATGTGGTTATTTAAATTAATTTTAATACTATGAAAACAATGTAGTCATCCCTATTTTGTCAAGGAAGTTCTTGGATATTCTGCCTATATTCTAAATAGAGCCTATATTATTTTAATGAAGTTAAAAGTTTGTAGGAATATTATAATGTGTTTTTTCCTTCAAGTGGGTAGAATTTTAAAAATTAAAAATAAACAAAATATAGCCAGTATTTTGTAATTAGTTTAGTCGTAGAGACAAATAATGGACCATTTTAAGCATTTACTTCCATTCTTTTAGTCTGTGCTCCAGAAAGTATTCATAACTAATGGTTTTGCTTATCTTTTCTGTAAGTCCTGTTCTTTGTATATTGAATTGTTTTGTTGTAGACTTACCTATTTTTCTTTCTTTAACAGTGGGTGATAATAGTAATTTTTTTAGCAAAAATATTTTACCTGAATTCCTTAGTTGCTCTACATAACTTGGGGCTTACTGAGTTCACTATCAAAGACGTGTTAAAAATCAGTTAACTGTTAGACTACTTGCCCTTCACTTATTGTACTTTTTCCTTTCAGATTGGTAAAGATGAGATATCTAGTTGTGTATCGTTGAGGACTGCCAACACTTAAAAGAACAGTCACCCCATTACTCTTTTTAATAATGAAAACCTGGAAACTATGTTAATATCCAAGAAGATAATATTAAGTGCACAATCGTAGATCTATACAATAACACTACCTTGTAGTAATTACAAATGATGGTATAGATTTGTATGTATTGTAAAAGAAACATGTTCACAGTATATTACATTTTAAAAGTAGGTACCTTCATTTATAATTGAAATAACTGGAAATGGTATATTGTATATGTTTATTTTTTTTAAACAGAAATGTGAAAAGAAACTTCATCCACGAAAACTTCAGGATAATTTTGAAACAGGCAAGTCATTTTCTTTTGAAATCTCTGACTCATGGGATTTGGTTTGGCCTAACCTTGATTTTACTGGAGTGTGTAATAAAACATAACGCATAAGCAGAAAGAGTTGCACATTTCTTTAGAGAGAGTTCATATTTGTGGTCAAGTTCTCTAAATATGAAACTGGCTTAAATGAATTTATTTAAATGATCAAGATGAAATTATTTGCCCTTTCATTGTGCTATTTATTTCGTAAATGTCAAGCCTTGGTGCTGTACCTGAATATTATAGATAAATAAATAATTGCTTAAGGGTTAGATGGGGAGTAGAGCCAAGTATTTTAAAGGGAAGAGACATCATTCTATGTGATATACAGAATATATGTAACAGGTGCATTGATTTCAGAAGGGGAGCATTTCCTCTGTTTTCGAGGTGGTGATCAACTTTTTAAAGTGGTACTGCAGATAGCTCATATTAAAATGGCATTTGGAAGTTCTTCATCCTCACTTATGAAGAGTAAGTGTGTGATCTGATTTGAAAGTAAAGCTGATGAATGTAGAAAGCTCTTTAGCAATACTGATTTAATTTGGAAGTACATTAGACTGTTTTTTCTTCACTCCTATTTTGAATTTTGTGAAATTCCCTGTGCAGTAGATACACACTTAATCGCCATTTAATTTAAGGCTTTCATGTGGAAAAGTCTAAGAAATAAAAAGCATTATAATATTTTTTTGAGTACTGTCTATGATTTAAGCAAAATAAAAGCTATTTTAAAAGAGATGCCTTAATCCTGCTTTGGAAAGTTAAGGTTAACTGTGAAGAAGCAGAAACTGTCATTATTTTAGTATAGATAAGTTATGGGGATAGGAATCCTCCCAATAGGATTTTTTTGGACACCTTGGCTGGTAGGGACATAAGTTTATTTAATATGATGGTTTAATTAACGTAAGTTCAGAAATAATTTGATACACAAAATCCTTAAAAAGTCTTATGTTCAGGAACATTAAAGAAGGTACACTATACCTTTGTATACACAGCTTAGTTGGGCATGATATGGATATATAACATTTTGAGTTGTCTTAAGAAGGAAGTATAAAAGGGATCTGGTCTTGGGAAACCTCGCTTCAGACGTTTTGTCTCAGCCTCTTGGTGTCTATTCCAAACATACTTCCTAGTCAGGCCCCTCCTCTACTTAAAAAAACCAACAAACCGCTCCCCGCCCCCTAAACCTGATAAATTAGTGCTTTGTTGTATTATGGTTTTGAAAAGTTGGATTTTTCTTTAGGTTGATATATTCCCTGAACATTGGTGAGCTCCAGATAAAATTTCAGCTTTATTTTTCTAAATTGGAATCTTTACAAATCTTATAATGTAATTTTAACCTTACAATGCTTACATTTTGATTTCTGTCAAGAAACTCCCATTATTTTGGCACAGAATATATATTGGAGGTAAACAAAGGTATGCTCATTTTTGAAAACAAGTAAATATTACAGGTCTTAAAATAAGATTTTGAATGTTTGTGGAAATCAGCAATAACATTAGAAATTCAGATGAGTTCAGGGAAAGGAAAATACCTTGGTGGTTCAACTTAGGTTAAGAGTATGGGAGATAAATATATACTATACATGATGAATTCCTTCATACCAAAAGGTGAAGGGCTGTATTTTATTTCTTATTCAGTTACTGAGCTTATTTCTTTTGTTTCTTACACAGATGCTGCTTATGACTTAGCTTGCTCTGGTGAAGACCAGTTGCTAGAACATGCTGAGGGACAGACTGTGGCATGTAATGGACACTGCAAGTTGCCCTTTTCATCCAGAGCCTTTTTGAGTTTCAAGTTTGACCATAATGCTATAATGAAAATCTTGGACCTTTGATAGCAGCAGATGTGTTGTGGAAGTCCAAGAGCAGAGACCTGTCGCATTTGAGTGGGTGTCTCTCTCCGAGCCTTACCTTTCTCAGGTGTTGTAAAGAAATGCAAGGAGACAGTGATGTTTCTGAAAAGACTATTCTCTGAGCAGAAGAGAGAGTAGAAAGAAAACATGAATTTGGACTGTAAATGCAGTTTTATAGCTTTTTTATACAAATGTACCTTTTCAGTGTTTAATGAATTTAAGTTGCTTTTTATGAGGACATTTGTTTTCCTGTGATCGTGGTTTTTATTTTATATTCTGATCAAGAAAATAGTGTTTGAGTTATCAAGGTAATGGAAATGCTCTATCTACCCACTTCAGTGATTACAATGATAGTTTCCTTATTTTGAAATTTTAAAAGAAACAAAATACATAATTTATTAAATGAACATAAGAGCTGAAATGTCACGGAAGTTAAGATTGCAGGTCATCTTCTCTGGTGGCATTTAGCATGTTTCTTTGCTTTTAACCACTTAGGTTCTCTAATCCTCCTCTGCTTGAAGTTTTGTCGAAAGGTTTTATTTAGAGCCAGTATCTGCTACATAATGTTCATGTTCAAAATGAACTCTTAGCACTTCATTAAAGGACAAAGTCCTCAGCCTAGAGAGGGACCGAGTTGGTTGGGTGGGAAGTTGCTGCCCTAATTTTGTGTCGCGCTGCATGTAACCGGTAAACCCGTGAGACTGCTGGGGAGAGGGGAGCAGAGAGCATGGAGGCAAGGACGCAGCAGCTGCCTCGGTCATGTCTTCACCACCCTGCCGCCAGCCCTTTAGTATCGTAGAATGATTTTGTTCTTGAGAAGGTATATTCTATATCACGGTTGTGTAAATACCTATGGAATACTGACATTATTAGGTTTTATGTTGCATCTCAGTGTTGATCTGTGGAAACTGATGTTATATTCGGTTCCAGTTTGCAGCAGTGGCAGAGAGTGACTTGCTTTGATCAGCATGCTTGGGGCCCCTAGGTGACGGAGCGAGGCTAGACGGGGTGTGTGCTCCCCAAGCACCAGGGACGCTTCTCTTGGGGGTGGGGTGGGGCAGAACATGGACGTAACACACACGGCTCGCTCCTAGGAATGTATTTTGCTCTTTCAGGATTCTTAAATCCAAATGAGGGTGGCAGTGCCCTTTGTAAGAAGGATTTCAGCTATACCGGAGGACAATCACCAGGGCTGTACGGGGGCTTTAGAGTTTGGGCTGCTTCTGACCTCAGTGAAGGTGTTTCTTTGTGGGGGGGGGGGGGGGGAGCATATGCGTGCGTGTGCATCTGTCATGTGGGTTTTAAAAATCGTTTTTTACATGTGGTATCCACAAAATATATCTCTGCTTGTAAATTTTATTGTAGAAATTCTTTATTCTGTATAGATAGCCTATTTAATAGGAGTTCTGTGTAACCCATGGGACTTTCAAAGGAAATATTGTAAGGAATTCACTTGGTATAACTTTGCTTTAGCTTTTAAATGGCTTGATTTTAAAGGAGAAATTCTATTTATTAATGAGAGTGTCACCCTCTTGGTGCTAAGCAGGAGAATTCACAATTACAGCATTGTGTTTAGAATTAGGTTTTTTACAGTCCTGCATCTTTTAATGTGACAACTTTTTGAATCTTTTTGTGACTTTTTAAATGCATTCTTTGATTGTGTTTGGAAGTTCTTACTCTTCTTTCCAGAAATACAGCTGCTTTGCTTGGGTCTCCTTGAGCCATATTTATAGTTGGTCCCAGCATTCCAGATATCTGTTAAATTGGTAAGGGAGTGAAAACTTCATTTGCCTTGCAGGTAAATCATTTTCACTCGTTTACTGTCATCTGGAAACCATTTAATTTTTAGTAATTTTGTATGTTTTTTTCTTTTTTTGAGTGAGTACTATGGTCAGTCTTTCTGGTGCCTAGAGTTGGATTTTTCAGCTCTCTATTAAAGCAAAAGAGATTAGAGTGAGTTATCAGAAGTATGTCTTCTAATAGTGTTGAGCCTTTTCAAGAACCAACAAATTATCTCTTTTCATTTATGGTGGTTTAGCCATAGTTCAATGTTACTGCTGTTGTGCTGCCTCACTAATGCACTGTGGAACAAATAAGGGTCTTGTTGGGATGGGAATTTGATAACTTGAGGCTTTTAGCTATCTTGACAGTTTGAGGTAAAAATAAAGTTAAAAGATGTGAGTTAAGTTTATGTGTGTGATGTGACTAAACTATGCAGAAAATGTGTGAGTTGGATGTCTCTGCTTTATGTACATCTGCTATACTTACTCCCTCGAACCTGTGTGTTAGTGTCTCATTGTGCAGGTGTCCTTGAGAAAGGCCATGCTTAGCACAGAACTGGATTTCTCCTTGGAGAAAATGTAGCATGGTTTGAAGAAATCAAGTGATGAAGTGTGCTGAATATGCAATAATTTCCTCCTGTGTGCTGCATTTTAAGCTAGATGAGAAGAGTAGTTGTGTTGGCTTCATTATGTTTATGTCTTTGAGAGAGAAATAGGTCTTTGAATCCACTTTTTAAACGTTCCTATGTTCCAACCTTACATGTTCCAAGGTTCAGTGCACTGTGAATCCTTTATTTTTAAAAATTTTGTAGGTGCTTTTATATATAACTGTACTGTTTCGTAAGATGTTTAATGAATTGCATTTGTACCTAACCATAGTAATCCAAAAGATAGGGGTATGGTTTACATGCTTTCATAACTTTTCATTAAAAAATAACAAGTGAATGGTTTTAGGATTTCAAAATTTCAAACAGTGACACTCTTCTGAGACATGAGCATTTGAAGTTGTCTGAGAACTTAATAGAACTCTTATGAGCGTGGATGAAATTCGATTGGAGAATTTTGCAAATTAAGTTGGATTCTCATGTAAACGTACATAGGCACCTCTGTGCTGTCAGAGGGGCTGTGGCCACCGCTTGCTGCTTGGAGCTTTGGATATCCTTATTTCTCTATTAAATATCAGTCAGTACAGATAAAGACATGTAGTGAAACATAGCAAAATTAATTTTGTCCTATAAGATTGGGTTGGTACTTTGTCTTTTAGTAATTTGTTCAGTAGTCCTCACTTATCCACAGCTTTGCTGTCTGTGGTTTTAGTTACCCACAAGCAACTGTGGTCTGAAAATAATAAATGGAAATTTAAGTTTTAGACTGTGTGTTGTTCTGAGTTGCGTGATGAAATCTCATGCTGTGCAGCTCCCTCCACCCAGGGCCTCACCTCACCCCTGGGTGCCGTGGGTCACGCTGTGCATACTCCCTGCCCTCCCTGCCCTTTAGTCACTTAGCGCCCATCGGGGCTGTCAGATTGACTCACGGCATCACATTGCTTGTGTTCAAGTAACCCTTATCTTAATAATGGCCCCAAAGCGCAAGAGGAGTGATGCGGGCAACTCGAATGTGCTTCATTTAAATGAAAAGATATGTATATATAGGAAAACTAGTATGTATAGGGTTTGGTACTATCCGTGGTTTCAGGCATCCACTGGGGATCTTGGAAAGCATCTCTGGGTAAGTGGGGACTACTGTAATATCAAATAAAAAGAACTCAAATCTAAGTGAATAGCATCCTCCTGTAGGGATTAAACTCTTCTATAAAACTTAACATACTGTACTGGTCTTTAGAAATGTTCAGGTCTGAGTGCATGTGTGTATTCAAAACATTTCATTACCTAGTCTCTCATTTATCCTTTTTTGGGGGGCGGGGGGTTTCCAATAGGTAGTTCACTTGAACAGTAAGGACAAAGTCAATTATAAAAGTTTGTCAAGTTATTTTTCTTACTATTGATAAGATCTCTTGGCTTTCTACATTTTTGTACCATTGGACTTCTCTTTGCCTCCTCCAGAAATTTTGTTTTGTTTGCCATCTATCGTCTGTTATTCTCTGAGGCAGTATTTTCTTTGCATATTAATCATAGTTATAAGATTAGATTCATTAACATTTTTGTGATTGAAGAAAAATAATTGTTATCTAGTAATTTTGATTTGGATGATATACTAGTCTGGAAGAGGGGCCCATGTATTGCTGTAACATTAAAGATAAACAAGACAAACTCTTATTTTGTCTGAAGGTGTCAATATCCTTTACCTTTAAGTACCTGTTTCTAGGTAAACAGTTGTTAGTAACACAACAATTTTGTTAAACCTTATTCCTGATAGCTTTTAAAGCCTAGCTAGAGCTCCTCATTTTGCATTCTGTCCTGAGACTTTAAAGTGCATTTGTATAGTTGCCAAAAATTCTAAAAGAGAGATTATTCTGGGCTTTCTCAACTTCCTTTTTCCCTAGAATTGAGTTACTCTTGAAGTTCGTACTTCTGTGTCATTAAGATGGCAGGTTGCAGACGGCCAGGCAAGGCTCTGCTGCGCTTCCTTCCCAAGGAGAAATCTGGGTATCAGGACTGCAGTTTCAGAAACATTATAGGTTGTTATTTTAAAACAAAAGTGCCCTGAAGAGAGAAGATAGGTATATTTTTGCTGGACAAAGAGCATAAGGAAGAAATCATGGAAGATGAGTGCTGTATGAGGTCCTAGGCTAGAAATGGGAGCCTTGCCTAGTCCAGGCAGCTTGGCCATTACCAGGCATTTTCTCCCAAGTAGGGATAAAGTTATTTTTTCCCAAGTATGGTGGCCAAGCAATCCAGTAAATCTGTAGTAAATTTTCTCACTTTAAAGATCAGTGTTTGAGAGTCTGGTCTTTCCTGTGCTGATGCTTTGCAGCTGCAGCCATACCGGAGCGCACTGCTTCCCTGCAGGGGCGCACACAGCCTCAGTCACTTCACGCGGTAGCTGTGCATTTGTCCTGAATGGTGATCCATTCCTTTCCATCTAGTTGCCTGTGACAAATAGAATTTATTATGGAAATACTAAGTAGTCTATACATAGCTAGGGAAACAGTTTTAAAGCTACCTCTCATGCAAGGGAGTGGACTTGAAGGGCTGGCAACTTCTAAGAGCTTAGTTGCTCAGAGTTTAACATGAAGTATTGTACAAAGAAATATAAATAAAACTAATAAAGTATGCGGAAGTCTGTCTTGAGAAATGTTTATAATTGAATCTGTAATCTGGGTTGCCAGATTAATGAAATTATTAGTTTAAAAGATGCCATTTGTCTTGGGCCTTCTGTGGTTAGCAGAGAACATGGTCTAGCTATGGTAGCAGCTTGAAAAGCAAAACCTAAAAGGAACTAACCTTGCCAAGGTGCTTGCATTAACTGTGTGGTGTTGGTCAAGGGTGCTCTGGGGAAAGGGATTCAATACAGAAATCAGTTTCCTTGGTTTATAACTTTGTTCCACATGGACCCTCTTAGTAGACTTTAGTCTTTTAGTCCATTGGTGGAAGAATAAGACCCTGAACATATATTTACTGCTTTTTTTGGTGGGAGGATTCTTGCAGGCATTTGGGTGGTGGTGTGGTTATTGGCTTCTGTCTTACCACTTGATGACCTGTTTCTTAATCCTTTTTCTTGGTGTGACTAGCCAGGAGGAAGCCATTGAGTCCCTCTCCCTCCTCTCCCTGCCCTCCTTGTATTGGCCCTTCTGTAGAAGCTTTTTTCTCTTTATTTGTGCGCCATACCCAGGGCGAATCTGCCTCGGTGGGAACGTGTGAGCAGCAATCTATCTTGCCTTCCAGAGTCGATCTCACTGACCCTTGGGCCATAAAGCACATTGGAGGACTGTAGACACCTGTGCTATTTTGAATCTCTCAATGTATGGGGAACAAGAAAACTGTATTTTCTAGGGTGAAATGAGCAGTGTTCTTCTGGTCCTCAGTCTGTGAGGGGTCTTAGTTAATACTCTTAGGCTGTGGTCCTTTTTAAGTTGGAATGTAACAATTTTTTAATTCATTGACCCGGAGCTCTCTAAAGCAATCTATAGCTACAAACTCTGGTGTGAAACATTTGGGGCACAAGTCTACAGTGTTAGTCATTTCTCAAGCTTTTAGTTAGCTAATTCTTTGTAAAATGATATCTTGGCTTATTTTTTGTGATATTGAGGAATAGGCTGTGGATGGCAGCAAATGAAAGCAAAGGGTGTCGACAGTGAATGAGATGGAGAGAGGCAATAACTGATCCTCAGCAGTTTGGTTGGTGGGATGTGCTAATACTTTTGGAATGAATGAGCGGCAGTGGACTGACGCTCGTCGTGTCCTTTCCCTGTGATGCGCACTGACAGGACAGCACAGAGACACCGGCGGGAGTTTTCCAGTGCCACTCACTGCTGCCTGGGGCACTGCCGCCTCGCTGCTCATTGTAAGGGTCCGTTTGGATCTTGTTCAAGTATCTTTTAGTTTCAAATGCAACTGTCCAAAGAATTGTCTTTAATTTTGCTTTTTTGCTTATATTTTTCTTCAGAATTAGGACAGGAGACAGCTAACCTGTCCTTCATTTGATAAATATTACAAATCTTTTCCTTCAGTAATAAATAGGGAAGGAATATAAAATCATGAACTATTTTACATATATATTTGTATATATACACACATTTCTTATAATTGTGTTTGAAGTTTGCTTATTGGCTTATTACCTTATAAAAATTGTCTTTGGTAGGTACTGACTCATACAATTCAGATTTTTAATTTTACTTGTTGGTTTTAATGAAGATTTCAAATAATTTCAGAATAAAATGATTAATGACATTATAATTCATGTATTAGCTAATTTAAGTGAAATGTAAGTCTTTTGTCTAAGCAAAATAAAGGCAAACTATTTAGTTTGGATGGGAAGGGGAGTAAGAATTGGTTTTCTTTTATACTCTGCTTATTTCCAAAACAAGATATGAGTAAAACGTCTTTTATGCTGTGGGGACTAGGTAATGTTCATGGAGGATATGCAGTCCTAAAACAATTTTCTTGGGAATAGTGTTAGTCTGAAAAAGGTGAAGATATTTATGCTGAGTTATGTAACAAATTACTTGGGCCTTAAAAAGCTGGTAGAAAAAAATTGAAATGGTTTCACTAAGTATATGATACTCTTGAGAAAACTGGACTTCAGAATAAATGTGATTACTGTCATTGTTGTCTTATGTGAAATGACTTAGCATTTAATTTTTGCCTTAAATTATAGCAGCATTTTATTACTTTACCTTAGGGAACTTCAATGTTTGGACAAAGACTGTGTAAGTAAACTTTACATTGAGAGGTTTCCTGTCTATATAGTAATGAAATTCTTGGTGCTTGTTTTGGTCAATTGTCAAACATTTGGGGAGAGCAGAAAAGGAGCCCCAAAATACCTGTTGGGTTCACCCTGTAGTTACAACAGTTGATGCCTTTAGAACAGGTTTATTGTATTTCTGGGTGTATTACATTCTGGCTGAACAGTAGCTTGGTCTCTTTCCCTCAATGTTAATGACTGATTTTCACTTAAATGGGGTGTGACTATCATAAAAGGAGTGATTCGTGTTTATGAACTGGGAGTTGAAATGTTTGCAGGGTTACTGCACTTCAGTTTTCTAGAAATGCAAGCTGAGAAAATGCACAAATTCCTATGTCTTAACAGTTATAATGTTCTTTTTGAAAGCTTTTTGATGTAACAACAATTTAGAAATTACAAAATACAATTTGAATGATGGAAGGTTTCCTTTGTATTTTAAAACATTTTCTTTGCAGTTGATCAAATACTGGCTTTCTGTAAAAACATTATCATGTTAAATTTAGACTGTAGTGCAATATCAATAAATTTTGCTGCTTGGGCAGATTTACTTACTACCTGAACTTGTTTTCTGCTGTTACTTGTTATTATAGGCCCCAAGTTGCTCATATTGTGGTTGCATCTCTTTGGACCAATAACAGACGACATGTACGGGCTCAAGGTATGCTTGTATGATAGGAAGAAATAGTAAAATGTAGAGTGTCTCTGCAAAAATGAGAGAATGGTATGTATTTTCCATCTCAAACAATTACAGTTTGGTTGTTGCTTTAAAGGAAGATTTTCGTGTGAGTTAGAGACATAAAATTTTGTCTTGAATTTTCACTAGAATCAGGTTTTTAATGTTTGATAGTCCGTGGATATCAGGGGGAAAGTAGTACATTCTTTACTAGAGACCTCAGTTACGTGACAGTATTTTTTATTTAAAATAGTGCGAGTGACCAAGGTATTACACTCGTACTGTCAAAGGTACTTTGCTTCGATAATGAGAAGTGACAGGTTGCAAAGCTGCTTACCATACTTTCTTGTCACGTACGGAATTCCTGATTGTATTCCATTTCAGGGATTTTTAAAAAGGAAAAATATTCTTTAATAACTTCCCATTCATACCAAACTTGAAAAGGCAGCCAAATAGAAATTGGTGATAGATGTGGTTTCTTGGACTGTTTTGACCTTACATAGTCTGTCTTCTAGCCTCTGCTTTGCCTAGGGGCTCATGATTTAATGTGAAACATCCCAGATTTGATATTTACATTAGACAAATAGTATTATAGAAGGATAGCCTTACCCTTTAGTGAACACACTTAAAGTACATCATGGAATTAGAAATATTTATTCAGAATATAAGAATGTTTGTAAAATATTATAAATGTCTTTGTATAAATAAATGGAGATTTTTAAAAACAATTCTATATCAAATAACACAAAGTAGCTATTTTACAGCAGCTAAAACTAAAGGCATCTGGAGACATTTAAAGCATACAAATGAAGAATCTAAAAAATTACAAGGTATAGTACAGTGCTAAGTGGCAACTTTAAAGGGAGACTTTCAGTACAAACAGCAGAACAATACTGACAAATGCAAACTTAGTCACGTGTGCTTTAATAACTGACAGTACATTCAGGTGGTATAAAAGTAGCACATTTTCAAAGAATAGGAAACTTATATCTCATGCAAGGTAAATAAGTCTTGACAGTGTTTAAAACATCAGAAATGAAGGGAACATATTTTGTTGTCTTTGCACCAGATTCAAACAGAAGCAGATGACTGGGGCTCACTCACTCGGCAGTCCGGACGTGAGCGCTGTAAGTGAATACTAGGAGTTCTACAAACAGAACATTTTCCACACGAATTTGATTTGCAAAAAGTGCAAAAGTGAATGTAGAGCAAGAACAAGGAAGCAGGTCATCAGTGTGAATGGGGGAATTTGTATATACCTTGCTCTGCTCTGCTGAGCTAGTGTTTCAGATGATTAGTGGATGAGTGATTTGTATCTGCTTCGACTCTGGAAGAATTTGCTGTTACTGGGACAGAATGATTTCCCGTCACGGTCACGTACAACATTTCACTCAGATGCGAGCGATAGAGTATGTGTCCAGTATAACTTAGATTAACCAAAAATGTATTTATCTGTATGTGAAACTAGCTTCCTTTACACAGGAATCAGCAAAACAGGAGTTCATAAACAGCTGCTATTCCAACTTGTATCCTTTTCCACTTGTTTTTTAACAGCTATTAGTGCTCAGTGATGCTATGGTAGCAGCATCCAGCATCGCATTCATTGGTAATTCTGATTCCAGTTCTAAAAAGTTAGTGCCTGGCAGCCTACAGCATGTATCTATTAGCGAATACAAATATAGCCGGTCAGAAAGTAACTGGGCGTGTGAAACGGGAGGAGCTGTGGAAGGACACAGGTTCAGGGCTAACTTCAACCTGGCCTACGTACACACAGGGTTTCAGCAAACTAGAAGAGGGTTGGAATAAACTTCAGGGAGAACTGTGTTCAGGGAAAGGCATCCTTCTTGTTTTGCAACAAGTTTTGTGTGTCTTTTACAAAGTAGTACCCAGCCTCTAAACAAAGCACTAGGGAGTTTGGAAGCCTCTGTGAAAAGTGGGTGGTGATTGTTATTATTTCTTGTCAAACAGGACATTCTTTTGGCTAAATAGAAAATAACTGCTATATGATTTTAGTGTCACCTGCTATAGAAAACCAACACATTTACTTATGTCTTCCCTCTCCGCCCGCAAACACCCTTGACAATACTATGACTGTACCCTAATTAAAAATGCAAAAATGTTAATCAGTTACTCATTCCCCTTTTGGCCTCTAGGAACTAACTGTAGTTCTGTTTGCTGCGTCTAGTAATAGGTGCAGCTGTAAACTTAGTGAACATGATGAAATTTTTCACTTTAAATAGTTTCATGGATGAGACATACTCCCAGTTATGTATTTGCAAATAACTTAAAACTTTTTGGAACTGTATGATTTTCAGAAGTCATTCAAAAAAGTTTGAAGGTTTTTTTGTTTTGTTTTTTGGAGTCTTGATGTCTTTCTCATCACTTCTCCTAAAACACAAGTATGGCACCCTAAACTCTTGAGGGGTTTAAGATAATTAATGATAGTTGCAGGATAATTTTTTATGGGCCATGGGAAAACAACTGTAGAAGGGAACAGGCAACTATGGAGGTTCTTAATTCACGCCACTGACAGAGTTTAGCTCAGATCAGGTAACCATGGGGCAGCTTTTCATTTTAAATATAATTATATCGGGCGTTCCCCACCCAGCCACACAGCAGGAGGTGAGCGGCAGCTGAGCAAGCGAAGCGTCGCTGGCATGACCGCCTGAGCTCTGCACTCCTGTCCCTCCACCCCTGCCTGCCCTTCTGTGGAAAAACTGTCTTTCAGGAAACCGGTGCCTCATGCCAAAAATGTTGGGGACCACTGATCTTTACAGAGCTAGGAGCTAGAGCACTGTCAGCTACTTTTACGTTTTCCTTAAGGGTCATAAAATCCTTACTAGCCACATCCTAATGGAGTTTAAGAAAAAACCTTATAGGCTCTAATTTGGACGTCTTTCGGGAAAAGCAGAATGACAAGGTTCTAAAGCAGAGTTCTGAGGTTCCTGTAAAGTATTGCTGCAGGCCCAGAGGAGAAATTAAGAAGTGCGTGCATCGCAAAGGAGAGTTGAGCAATTATGTTTGACTGGCACTTAATTTTTTATTGACTTAACATTTCCAGTTTGAAGCAGCGTGGACATTAACCTCAGAGACCTGACAGGCCAGCAGATGGCAATGATGAGACATCGGGTGTACCTCTGGGGCCAGGGCGTGATGAGTGTCAGCTGACTATCCGATGACATAGATACTTATCATGAGCAGGTTTTGGTGAAAGTCTCAAAGAACTTCTTACCCCTCACAAGTCTGTCAGTTCTGGTAGCTGGAGCACCCGGGGCTTGACAGAACAGATGCCGCCAGCTGCAGACAGGAGTCCCTTCTATCTGTGCCTTCCACCTCAATTCTGTGGTGGGAAATACACTCGGAGAGAACTGTGAAATGGGTCCGTCCTTCCCATGCCCGCTGCTCTAAGGGCCAAAGACTGAACTCTGAATAGAGAAGGTAACTGCCTTAAGGGGGTAAAAACCACTGAGGAAGCTGGAAGAAAACAAAAATACGAAGGTCTGAAGATTTTTTTAAAACCTCATACAAGTTAGAAAAACACTGTTTTTACCCCTGACAGAGATGTTAATATAAACCATCTTCTATTTAGAAAGAAGAATTCAGGTTATAAAAAAGGAAAATTATCCAGGCACCTGCGGTCATTTAATAATGCAGTTTTAATAGGCTCCACAATTAACATAACCAAGTGCCTGTTCACCTTCAGCAAGGATTTTGTCTTAAGGAGTCTTCGAAAACTACAAGGAAAGGAAATCAACTATTTAATAGATTTTTTTTTATTCTATACATTTATAAAAGTAACAGTTTTACTGGGGAAATAGTTTTCACCCAATCACCACATATTTAAAAAGTATTAGCTTGAAGTATGAACTCCGAGGCCCAGGTAGCTTCAGTAATACGGGGGCTCTTAATGGAAGAGCAGAGACTCAGTCTGGCAGGGTTCCAGGACCCTCAAGGGTGGGCGCTCTGTTCTGACTCGGGGTAAGTGGTAGACGGGACAGCAGACAGGACTTGGTTCTTCCTGCGTCAGCTACGTTTTTCAGTCACAAGAGAGAGCCATGGCTGCATCCCCCCTCGCACGCATGTCCCAGTTCGCTTGGAGGACATGTCCCTGGGCAAGCTGGGGAAGCCATGATTTTTGTCTATTAAACCATTTTTGGACATACTTTCCAGCCAAACATTTTCCTTGGGACAAAGTGAAATTTTAACCCAAAGAGTAAAAATTGATTTGAAGAAATCACAAACAAGAACCAACTCTGACTGACATTTTCGTAACAGACACAGGAACCAGCAGGCATCGTCTCAGCGATCAGAGCACCCAAAAGCTGGGTCCTGCAGACTGACGCAGGTGACTGTTTCTGAAGATCTGGCAGCCTCCCCTGCTCACCTGAGAGAGTTGGGTGCTTTGGGGGATAAGACTCGGCCTTCGGAGGCGGTGGCTAGAGTGTCATTCCCCAGAGTGCGGAAGGCTGAGGAACTTGATTCATGCTCTCTGAAAGCAGACACTGAGCTGTGGACATGGGGGCACCAAGGCAATGACCTGGTCATAAGCAAAACTGTGAGCTGCGGCATTGGGACTTATTTCTCCTAGGGCACTTGGGTGGATCTTCAGGTGCTACCGAGCACATGGCAGGCGATCCTTTTGGGTGGCGCTCAGTGTAGGGCGACTACAGAAGGAAGGGTGAAACAGTGACAGCAGACGAGGAATAATGGATTTGAGAGGGAAGCCCTTCCTGAAAGAATTCAGGTACTTTGGTCCTGCCCAGCCCTGTCAGCATTTTGCTTGAAATTTAACCTGTTTAAGCACCATATGCTAACGATCACCACCACATCTGGGGGATAAAAGGAGGCCTTGAGGACCATTTCCTCACCCCCTGCCCTTCATCACAGCAGGAGCAAAGGCTTGACCTGGTGGTTCGGTAGCAATCTCTTAAATAGGTGGGCTCAGCCTGCAAAATATTCACTACTCAGCGTCCTGCCTCTTGCCCTTAGAGAAAGAGAGGCATGCCAGAGCTACAGGTACCCTCCTGTGGGTGGACACTGTTTCATGCAAACAGCAATTATAGAGTGCCCTGGGGTGGGGGCAAAGTACTAAAAATGCTCCTCTGTCCTTGATGAAATTGCAGATAAAAGTTTAGTTCCAATACACGCACCAGCCCAGCTCCTAGCCTTGACCGTTGATGAGGCTCCATGGGTGGGGCAGTCCCAAAGCCAGAAGAGGGCGCCCTTCCCGGCCCTGGGTCCACCGTGGGAGGTGGTGGTCGTCTCCCGCACACCACGGGTCAGGCACAGCCCTGGGGCTGCTCGCCCTGTAACTTCATATCTAGGACTGCGCCACCCATGGACCATCTCCTGGGTCTTAGAGTCGGCAGCCTTGGCAGTGAGCAAATCTAGATGCGAGGACATCCACGCACCCCTGTGTGTGTGTGTGAGGGTTTCCCCCGAGGGAGGTCGGAGGAGAAATCGGGGACGCCAGAGAGAAGGTCACTGTCTACCAAAAGAAAGGAAACAGTAGAAAACCCTAAGGGACAAAGCCAGCGCTGGAAGCAGAAGCAAGGCCTGCTGAGCACGGCACACAGAGCAGGTATTTACATGTTGTCCGTGGGTCCTCGGGACAGTCTACACAGCGGCACCAGGGACGCTCACCCCGAGGGCTGAGTCCATGGCCCCCCCTGGTCCAGGTGCTGACCTACCTACCTGCCTGTCTGCCTCAGCTCTCCCGACAGGTACCCCATCCCCGGGGCCCTTCTCGGCAGCCCGCCACAGCTGACCTTCCGGGGGCAGAACTTTGGTGCCCGAGGGCCGACTAAAGGGAAGTTTCGTTGGTGTGTGGCCTTGAGTTCTCCTCCTCCAGCAGAGCTATCCTTTGCTTGAGCATCCTCACTTGGGTCTCGTGTCTCTCCACCATGGCCATCATCTGAGACTCCAGCTTCTTCAGTTTGTTTTGATGCTTCTTCTTTGCTTTCTCATAGGCAGCCACCAGGTTGCTGTGGGGGAACAGACGGACATGAGACGCAAGAGTCCCCCGAGGTAGCACCAAGACACACAGTGGCCGTCCACGGGGCAGCCAGTTCCCATGAGCACCACTCTGAAGAAACAGAGGGCACTCGGCTTTCTCGGTGGGAATTGGAAGTGGTATTTCAGCTCCCACGGCCCTTCCTCTTGAGGCCTAACCACGGTCAATTCAGCCTGACTGCCGGAGGCTTGTCACTAACACATTTATTAGCAGGGTTTAAACCAACCATCCCAACTAGCCACAACCAAAATAAGCAGGAAGGCAGCTGAATTCCAGAAATCTGTCAATTAAATACAAATACTGTGCCTGCCTGTTCCATGGCTGCCTGCAACAGATGGTCAAGGGTAAGATACAGGAAGGGGTTCGCCACGCACCCGAGCCTGAGGGACCTCACTGAGGATGAGGGCGGGGAGGCTATGGCCACTTCCCTTCATTTTGGGGCCATGGGATTCTGAGCCCAGGAGCCCGAAGGCTAAGGCTGGGTCCACCGCAGGCCCCAGGCCTCTGTCCCTCCAGGGAGGGGCAGCGATGAGCCAGGGCTGGGTACGCCCCGGCGCACTCTGCGGGCCCAAAGAGCACCCCACACACCTTCCATGTGCATTCAAGGCTCTTCAAGTGTGGCCCGAAGACCCCTGAGGGGTCCCAAAGCCCCTTCGGGGAGGCCTGTGAGGTCCTGTATTTTCTGACAACAGTCGTCTGTCTTGATCTGTTTCAGAACAATATATTGCCAGAAGCAACTGTGAGAATCTAGTTCTCTCCTATCAAACCAGACATCAGGGATTTGCAAAACTAAAAACAGTGCTACTCTATTTTTTGTAAAATAAGTTGTTTCTTTTAAAATAAAAGGTCATTTATATTACATGTAAAGAAGTTACTGGTTTTTAGTAAATTAATAAAAACTTTAAAAACTTGTTTTAGTTTCTAAAATGAGAAGTGTCAACAGATTATAAGAACAAAGCTCTTTGAGGTCCTCAGTTTTTTATGAGTGTGCAGGGGTCCTGAGCCCCCAAGAGTACCACTGGCGACTCACAAGCAACGGGGTGTACCTGTTGGCTCTCTTTAGGTCATTGACAAACTCTGCTGATTGCTGGTGTCGGATTTCACTGCTCTTGGTGAGTCTTTCCAAGGCGCTCACCAACTCTTGAACCCTGGCCTTTAACTTCTTTTCTCTGTATAAAGGAAAGACAAACAGCATGCTGTGAGTGACGGAGGTGATGATGCAGGTGGCTGCTGCCCAGGAAGCGTACACTTGGCCAGGTCAAAAGGCAGGTACAAAGAGGAGCCGCTGAGGGCACAGGAGCCCCCTTTCCGTCAGCGCCTCTGCATTCCTGCTGGCCGACTGGAGGCTGCTTCCTGTATGCTAAGGGCCTTTAGAGATCGAAGGAATGTGTCACAAAGGAACAACACAGTTTTCCAGATGGAGGAACTGAGCTCACCTAGAAGTTCCTTGTGTGGGCAGGCCAGGCGCTCTGCAGCGCGTGCAACACGACCTCAGAACCTTGTCCCCACACCCTTCTCCAAGTGTCCCCAGCATCTCCTGAACCACTCGGATTCAAGGACAAAGCCTCTGCTCTGGGCAGCCAACCTTGGACAAATGCCTACTCAAATCAACCTTGCAAAACACAAAAAGGTAGACAAGTAGAATTGATGGTGTTCTCATTTTAAAGGTCCTTGTTTCCCTCTAAACTGTACCAGCACTTTCATTTGACTCCCCCCAACCCCCTGCTTCACACTCTGTGGGCTCTTTACTGCCACTCAAGGTAACCGACTTAGGAGTCAGTTGGGGGAGGTTTCTAGTGTCCATTCAGCTCATTGCCTCCCTCTGACCCCCATTAGAACTCAAGACCCGGGCATTGCGCAGTGTCACTGCATCGTTTAACAGGCGCCACAGCACAATCTGCCGCAATCCGGTTCATGCGTTTGAGCTCAGCAGGCTCCCCATGGGCTCACAGGCTCCAGGGTCACGAGGACCTTTGCTGGTTTGGTTCCCCATGTATCTGCAGTGTTGAGTGCCATGCCTGGGTGAGAACTTCCTGGTGACTGGTTAATGCAGCTTCAGAACCACTCAGAGTATTTGTTCCTTGGAGCTAAGAAACCAGGATTTATGGAAGAAATTCCTCGTATGAGGAATGTAAATTAGCACGATAGTGTTGGAAGGCAATTTGGCAGTATCTGGCAAAATGAATACTACATCCCTTGACTGAGCAACTTGATTTCTAGGAATTTTTCTTGAGAAATAGTGTAGGTGCGCAAAGATAGATGAGATCCCAGATGTATTCACTGTAGCATTGGTTGTAACAGCTCAGTGGGGAGCCCCCAGGGTAAGGTGTATCTGTACCACCCTGCAACTTAAAAATGCACTTGGCGTGGCATCTGATAAACTGTTGAGTGAAAAGGGTGAGTTTTACTGGATGCCATTTTTTGCAAAAACAACTAAAAATTTGGTCTACTAACAATACACAAGAAAGCTAAACACCACTCAACACAGGCTAAACTCCCAGAAGAGGGATTACAGAAGGCTTTCACTTTCTTTTAGGTTAGCAAAAACTTCCTTCAGTTTTTTCCATGTTTGGCTCTCGTCTTAGTTGTCTTTAATGTCATTCAAAACAGTTTGGTTAGATTGTCCTGTGACAGCTGTCACATTAGTGTGTATTAAAAAAAAATCAAAATTGGTGAATTTTTGTGCAGCCAGTTTAATAGTGAAAATGGAAGAAAATACGCAACATTTTTGGTGTATTATTTCAAGAAAGGTAAAAAATGCAACTGAAGCACATCAAAAGATTTGTGCAGTGTATGGAGAAGGTACTGTGACTGATCAAATGTGTCAAAAGGGGTTTGCAAAGTTTCTTGGTACTACTGACATTTTGGCCAAGTAATTCTTTGCTGTGTGGGGGGGGCCGTCTTAGGCATTGGGAGATGTTTAGCAGCCCCCCGGCCTCTACCTACTAGAAGCCAATAGCAGGAGATAGCCGACACACTCCAAATATCCAAATCAATAAAGTTTTTATAAATATAAATGCTTGAAATTTTTAAACGTAGCCTGCTTCAGTGAAGTGCGTGTGGCTTCCTGCAGGATCGGGGCTGGGAGGGTGACTGGGGTGGAGGCCTCTCAGGTGCCGATGGTTCAGAGGCTGGTTCTCCCTGGCTTTTCAAATACCTAAATCTTTCATGTTTCTGCCTCCAGCTACTGTAAGTGCAAGTCAAGCTTTCCAAACAGTAATGAAGGAATTGCAATACAAAAATCCTGATTTGCTTTTGTGAGTGAGGTTGAAGGGGGAAAATCTTTTGAAGTGAAGCCTGACAACCAGCCCAAGTCCCAGGGCTGCTCGCTCTTCAGGGAATCCTCCCTCCCGCCCTCCAGCGAAGTGCATCCCACTGGCCGCCTCCTGGGCCCCAGCAGCCACGACGACTGTGAAATTCGGCTGCATTTCCTAAAGGAGTCTGAGAGTGGCACCATTTCCTGCCAGAAGTGAGAGCGGCTCCCTCTCTCCCTCCCTCCCTCCTTCCCTCGGAGCCGACCCCGCCCCTCCGCCTGGAAGGCGGCCCTGCCTCCGAGGAGCAGGTTAGGAGGCTGGGAAAGATCTCCCCCCCGCCCCCCCCTGCTAAAAAATGCAGGGGAGGGTTAGTTCTACATTTTGTTACTGTTTTGAGTCTTTTTCATTCTACAGTTGATTAATAGTGCAAAGGGAATGAGAATTAAAAAACGTCACCACGAACTTGGTAAAACAACAACAAAAACTGCCCCGGGCAATACCATTATTCCCCACCCCCAATTACACCCACCCTCCACACCCCTGCCTGCCCTGCAGACGGAGAACAGGGACTCCCAACCCCTCCCCACCCCCTAAACAAGGCTTCACTGTCCCCGGGATGCTGAGAGACGGGAGCAAACAGCCCAGGCCTGGCTGGCTCCCCAGGAGGACAGCGCCGGCAAAGGCAGGCGGGGCCCACAGAGCTGCCTGCCCATCTCTGCTCCAGCCTCCACACTCAGAGCACCGAGGGCGACACTCAGGGCACCGAGGGCATGGGCCTGGTCTCCATCCCCATTTATTTTTCTATAAAACGCTGAAAACCCAAATCCTCATCGCTAGGCCTTGCCTTGGATCTTCGGCTTGTTGATTTGACCTCTCTACTTGACAGGCATCTTCGAGGTGTCTAAGGCTGGACTTCTGAGGGGGTTTCCCCCAAATTCATTCCTCCCGGCCTGTCAGCAAACGGCAACACCACTCACCGTCCTCACTCCTCGCTTCCCCTCAAGAGCCAACCACACCTACCAAATGGCCACTTCTGCCACCACCCACCCACAGGGCCGGCACCTCTCACCTGAGTGACCACAGAGCCTCCCCATGGTGTCGGCTGCACCTCTGCCTCCTCTAGTCGGGTTTCCCAGACAGAACATCCAGAACTTTTTATTATAACAGGTCAGATCATGTTACTGCCCTTCAGCGCCTTCTGCCTGCAGCTGGAATAAAGTTGGTGGTCTTACCTGGGCCTCTGAGGCCCTGCTCCACCCGCCCCCTGCCAGCCTAGGTTCGTGCATCCCTTCCCCCCTGCCAGAATCCTGGCAGCGCACACTAAGCTTTCTCCCTCTGCTTGGGGCGCACTTCCGCCAACCAGCTCCTTTCCCTCCTCATCTCACCTAAAAGGTCACCTCCTCTGAGAAACCCACCCATCTGAACAGATGTCTGTCTGACTTGAAACATCACAGCACCTTGCCGTTTCCTCCGAATCATTCATTGCAGTCTATATTTAATTTTTTGGGGAAAAAAAATCTCCACAGTGATTATATCATATGACCCTACTTATTTCCTTTCTGGTCAACATCACAATGTATCACTACTTACTACTTTTTAGTAAATCCAGGCAGTGTGAAACAGCTATCTCGAAGTCCTTTTTGAGGATAAAGTAATCTAATTCTCAACAACCCTCGAGGTCAGTACTATTATTATTGTAAGGTTATAGGTGAGGAACGTGAAATGCAGTTAAGAGACTTGTTGCAGAGCTGGGATCACGCCCGGGAATCTGTCTGCCGAACCCGGTGGTCTCAGGCCCTCCCCACAGGACACTGGGACCCATCAAGGGCAGGCCCTGGGGCAGGAGATAAGATTGGGGGGCAGGAGATAAGACTGGCGGCGGAGAGCCGGGGCCATGAGACTGGGAATGAGGTGCCCACAGGTAATGATGTTCTGCAGCTATTATGTTTCCTGTGGCTGTATTTTGACATGTAAGGAGTAGCCGCAAGATGATGAGGGCAGCCTCTTTTTCGGCCCAGGCATCGTGCCCTGCCCATGCCTTCAGGTGCTCTCTATCACGCTGCCTTTATGAGATCTGGGCAAGGTCTTCTCTCAGAGCATTTGGAACATGAGAGGAATGATGAAAATAAAAAGAAATCTGTTATCCAAGCAACACCCACTCCAACCCCTGGGGCCATCGTCGCTGTGGGCCAGTGCCCTTCATGGCGGCTGAGAGCTCAGCAGGCTGCGGACGTGACCGGAGGCAGGCACGCTGTGTTCACTACTGCGGACCATGTGCACATGCAGCATTCTAAGCACAGCTCCCATCGTCTGGTTGCTGTTATAAATCAGCCAAATAAGAGGAATCAGTAAATGCAAGTTGATAAAATAGCACCTGTTAAAACAATGGTCCTAGTAAAAAAGCGGTGAGGATTCTGTGGCTTGTTTGCTCAGTCAGGGCTCCTCTTTACAAGGACCCACCCAGTTCCCTGTTCATTTCATTCCACCAACTGTGTTCACAAACAGTGTTAATCCACAGCTGCTGCAATAGGGACCCACGGCCGAAGCCCTCTGTGCTCCCTCGGGGCCACCTGCTGGTTCCTACAAATAGGGGAGGTGTCCAGAGCTGGGCAGATCTGCTGGAACGTGGACGTGGATTTGAGCTCCGAGGATGCTTGCTGCGGTTTGTTCCACGGCACTCATGCAACCAGGGGCTCCGTGGGCGACTGACAGGTGAAGAGCAGTCACTGCTACTGGGAGCACAGGGACAAGCAGGATGATGGCAGAGGTGACTGAGAAGCTTCAGGAGGGTGAGCGTTCTACTGGACAAGAGGGGGAGGACAGGTCCAGAGGCTGAGAGAGGGGGATAAAGTGAAGGGCATGTCCTTGGAACAACTTGTCCGGAGGGACCAGACTACATACGGGGCACACATAGT